AAATATCATAACTTGTTCTTCCACACTCGTCCTCTTGGTTGGTCGCAATTTGCCTTGCTCTGACAAAAGTTCACATAAGTATGTAAAACAATCTTTGTCCATGCGACACTTGTCAAAGATCCTGTTAGCATGATCATTGAGTACTTCCAACATATACTCATGACCAGTTAATATGGATGTATGTCGTAGTTTACACCTAGTTGTTTCTAACGTGACAACATCGCAGAGTGCAATGGCTATATCTGTCAGTATTTCTTCTTCGTCATCTACAGAATGTCGTCTTCTTCCTATACGGCTAGACGACGCCATTTAAACCTGCACATTTGCAAAACATTGATCTACAATTAACAGTTGTTGTACTACTTAGCAAAATATAACAGTCAATATTTAATTCTAATGACAATCCAAAACTCATATGAAACATGTAATCTCACATAAAACAGTAGCACAATTAATAAGTTCATACAGTAACGTTATAAATTCTAATTCTAATGACAATTGTCGATTAACGCATACAAAAGTGTTGGCAAACACTTAGGACATACAATGTCATCTACAAATTGCGAAAGTCATTATAAATCCAATTAGCCTTTTCCTCGGGCGAGAGTTTCACGAATATTTCTGGCTACCCTGGGTTTTGATATAAGTACTTCACAACCGGTATGTAAAACTCTGTGGGTACTTGCATGGCCGTCATGATGTCAATACAATTGCTCATGGAAAACGGATCAGATGGACCACTGGTGTTCTCTTCATCCCTCTCACCTTCACTACAATTGCTAGCCCTCGATCCCATAGTCTGCTTCTCCACAAGCTCGTCCGTCAATCTACCAGTGACATCCGCAAGTGATTGTCCCAGGCCGCATCGCCTCCTCCTATTTCTCGCTCTTCCATGGCCAGATGTGTTTGGCTGTTTTTCCCCTGTCGTCCAATCTGGATCAAGTTCAAAGTCGCTATCATCCATGGGAACTGCGCCCTGATGGAATATCTCCACCGGTTGAGATGTAGAGTTGTACGCATATCTCCCAGTGGCAGTTTGCTTCTCAAATATGATTTCATAAAGGTCCTTGTGAGGAAGTCCCTTGTGGTAGAATTGTTGCGCTAGTGGGTTTTGCTGGTAATGCAAAAGAATAATATATTAATATTTGGCAGTCCGAAAAAAAAAATGCGTACAATTACAGTGTCGTTGATTAATATTAGTTAAAAAAGTAAATTTACCTTCACATATTCTTGCCAAACCTCTACGGGACACGTTGGACTTTGCGACTCATGATCCCACCTGAACCCCGTGTGTTGCAGCAATTTCGCCATGCTTGATATACTCTTCACAGGCGAAAGTACTTAGAGGTTAGTTGTGAGATGTTAAGTCTCCTCCCAGCCATTGATGATATGTCGTCCAACATTTCCTGGTAATTTGCTATTTTTATTGAAGTACCGTACGAAGTTTTCGCCCGCTTAGATAACAGGACCAGAAATTTGTGGGTCATCTCAGCAGACCAGTTCATGTTATCACTCATCTAAGGATAGTACGGTGAGAATGACAACCAACATTGGGACACCATACGAATCACCAATCACATTACAAACAGACATACACACATGTAAACGTAATCAAGTAAACACAGATAAACTTATACCTCGTTCGATCCGACATTGCTTGAAGACGTCAACGCAGGGGAAGATACAGACAATGTCGACCAACAGGGTGTATGACGAACTCCAAGTCTGGAAAAACGTCGAATCTTTCGCCTCTGCTGCAAGTAGTAATCAATCTTGCGACGTCGAGACAAATTATACTGACATCTGTGCATATGATCGTAATCTACAGAACAAATATATCAGTTAGTGAAATCCCAACAAATTATTTCAAATAATCCAATAATTTTTTACTCCCAAAATTTATCCATTACATACAGCATGTTACATACGGAACATATGAAACTGCACAATATTTTGATGCATGTGCTAAACATTGTAAGCAACATAGCACATGCTGTAACCGTTAAACCCCACAAACAAATCCACAGATCCAATCGTGCTCATGTGCAGATATCAGTTTGAGTCAACCAATTATAAAACGCATTATTAAAATCAAAATTAAAAGGATTAATGAAAAGAAAAAACAGTACTAACACAAATTATTTCCAATAAAATAAAAATGAGGAAAATTGCGTCTTGGGTGTCTTGAAAACAAATAGGTCACGGAGCTCACAAATTGGATTTGGGTACTTCGCGGGTCTCTTTTCCTTCCTGAATATTTTGGACAAATATGCAATAAAATCACAAATTATGTGCAGATGTTTTATACACAATATAACCTGCAAAACAAAAAAAAAAAAAAAAATCACAAATTATGCGCAGATGTTTTGTACACGATATAACCTCTAAAAAAAAAAAAAAAATCAAACACAATCACCTTTCCATTCCTTGAATATTTTGGACAGATCTGCGACAAACACAATCACCTTTCCCTTCCCTGAATATTTTGGAAAGATCTGCGACAAACACAATCACCTTTCCCTGTGGACAGATCTGCGACGTGGGTGGTTCACGATGGTGGGTTTGTTCCAATCGGTGATGTCGGGGCTTTCCCTGTGGACAGATCTGTGACGACGGTTCACCGTGGTCGGTTTGTGACGATCGGGGTTGTCGGTGGTTCACGTGGGACAAATCTGCGATGTCGGTGGTTCACGGTGGTGGGTGGGTTTCGCAAAATTGGTGACGTCGGGGCTTTCCCTGTGGACATATCTGCGATGACGGTGGGATCACGGTGGTCGGTTTGTGACGATCGGGGCTGTCGGTGGTTCACGTGGGACAGATCTGCGACGTCGGTGGTTCATGGTGGTGGGTGGGTTTCACAAAATCAGTGACGTTGGGGCTTTCCCTGTGGACTGATCTGCCACAACGGTGGGATCACGGTGGTTCACGTGGGACAAATCTGTGGGGATGTGGGTTCACGGTGGTGGGTTTGTTCCGATCGATGACGTCAAGGCTTAACGTATCGTCAATGGTTTGTGATTCGTGGTGTTGTTTTGTGATTATGGTGATGCGTGGTTGCAATGGGGTGGTAATGCCATGATGGTGGAAGATGGTGATGGGTGGAGGCCGTGCGGTTCTGTCGTGATGATCGTGGAAGATTGATTGGGTGGTGCTGTGGGGTGGTTTTCTGATTCAGGTGGCTGGTCGTTTGTTGAATGTGCTTTGTTTTGTATTTGCGGGTGAACGATTGTGGTGGAGAAGAAGTTGGATGGAAGAAGAACAAGATGGTTTGTCACGGTGGTGAAGCATTGATCCAGTGAACAAAACTGAGAAAGTAAATAAAACTGAGAAAGAGAAATAAAAGCTGCAAGCTGTCTTCAATGGTCAAAAACCTGTCAAGATTGTATTTTCAGGGTTGTATTGTCTGAATAATAAGCCAAACGGTATTCGCAAAATCGGTTTGAGAATATGGGAACAAATAATAAGCCAAACGGAGCCTATTAGTTTTTTTTTTATTTTTTTATTTTTTTATTTTTAAAGAAAGGTTCTTATACATATCTTAATTTTAGGAGATTTGAAATCTTTTATTATTATTGTAGTTCCTTTAAAGTTATCAAATCTAAAAACACTCCAAACCTTATTTGATTCAAGTTCTAGAAATTTCTTGGTTATATGATCAATTTTCTATTTAAACAATGTAATTTGTAAGAAATTTTGAAAATATAAAAGAAAGAAGAAGTCAAAGCATTTATAGATAATCTTATGTTAATTTAACTGCAAACCAAGAAGCAAAAAAGAGACTTCCTCTATAATTGAGTCTTTATTTTTCCATTGCTTATTGATAATGAAACATTGAATTTTATTTTTCATTGTTTATCGATGATTTAAAAATGAACATAATGAAGAATTTATATCTCAATTTAAGTTGAAAAAACATTAATTTGGATGGGTATAGATGATACATAACTTTAGTTAGCTACAAACCAAACCACATTAACATTGGAGCACCTTGATTAAGAAATATTATACATTTCTTGTCAATCAAGGTATATGAGTATGAACAAAATAAGTTTCAAGTTAATGTATATTTTTGTGTGGTCAAATTAAGATGCTTTAAAATATTTGATAATTTAATCGGTCTTCAAAGTTTTAGTTTAATTAAGTCCTAGTCAAGAGTTTACATGGACATTTAATATTTTTATAGTAATAATAACAAGCTTTATTGGAGTTAGGCGCAATCGGTTGGTATATACTTTAGGAATTGTTTATGGTATTAATAAATGTTATATTGAAGCCAAATTCTAAATATACCCTTTAAGAATCTAAAAACATTATATTGTGATTTAAATTCCTTGAATATAGACTGTTTTGTTTTGCAATCAACCTTGTGGTGGGTTATCCCTTGCATGCCAAATAAAAGCAATTAATATAACAAGAAACCATCTAAAAGTATTTTTGTTTTATGTATTCTTGTCAAATTAAATCAATTAGATGCGTATCGAAAATACCATCAATTATTTTTTGTTTTATCTCAAGACAAATTTAAATTATTAGATGCCATCAAAGAGAAAATGTAAGGCTGCTTCGTTTGAGTGGGATGGGGTTGGGAAACTAGTGGATCCTTGACTCTAAAGCTTCGTGTTGGTTTGTATCAGTCACGGTTGGTGATTATAGGTTCATTGTTTGTTAAGACAGGCTTAGTGTGTGCCACATTCTGCAATGGACATCCATTTCTTATAATTAGTTTCCAACTCTTGTCTTATCCGCTATTCTCGTGCCCAATAGGGTTTATTGTATTGTTTTTCCTTATAGTGAGCCTCAAGTTATCCTACAAGACCTTCGACTTGGATATATGAGTAATGCCACGGACTTTGAATTCAAACATATTTTCTTCTAAAACATTTCTCTCGCTACCGTGTGAAACCGTAAAATGAAAGAAAGGACCCGGACCCAGACCCACAACATGACAAATTGACCCAACAGCCACAACGCACCATTCAAGTTAGCCACTATCTTCTCTTCTATTTCAACACCACCATTCAAACTTATGCACTACGTCTTCCATTCAACCATCTTCCCAAAGCATTATTCAAACCTCAACAAAAACAACAGCTTAATTTCTGCAAGCACTGGTCTATGGAACCCGAAGCTTCATCGTAAGTTAATCAATTTGGAAACTAACTTTCTTTTCCAACAGTTTTTAACAATCCATCCACTCACTATATATTTTATTTATTTCAGGTTTGAGACGAGTGAGATATTAGCAACATTCGTGGCATCAACGCCAGTGCTAGAAGAATCATGGCGACTCTGCAATCTCGCCAACTCTGTTCCAAACCAAGGTTTCGTGATGGAACAAGTTGGGAATATTGGATATGTTGGTTTTCCCAGCATGGGAAATAACCAGATTTGTTATGGGAATTTGGTGGGTCTAGATGGTGAGAATAACCAGATTTTCTCTCCTTTGTATCGCCAAATCAATGAAGGGGAAAAACCGATCATGCTTGAAGCTGGGTTCTTGCAGCTTTTCTTCTCCATCTATGGCTTCCAAACCCAGGTCAGTAATGAGTTTCTTCATTATTATCGTGAGAAACCTGAACTCACTCTTAAAATATCATGGATTTATCTTAAATAGTGGGGATCAATGCACGTCTCTCTTAATTGAAAACGGATCAAAAGTAGGAAAAACTAATAGGAAAATGAAACTAAACCAATTAATCTTCCCTCTCTCTCTCTCTCTTTCTCCTTGGTATGACCAAAACTTAACTTCATTACTGTAATTTAATTAAGAACCAAAAGATTAAACGGGGAAGTTCTTGTTTTCAACGCTTTTGTATTGTTTCAGAATCTGTAGAGGGCAGAAAGCGATCAATTTCAATAAATCATTTTGTGGGGGTTCTTGACTTGAGTTAATATACTTTTTGTTTCAGCAAAGTCTTGACAATAAGCATTTCACACTCTTGTTTTGCATTAAAGGGGTTTGGAAATAGCCAATCTCTTTGAGAATCTGTCTGTATGAACTTTAGAAGAGAAAGTAGGCTAAAAGTTTCAAACAATTACACGGCGGGGCGGTCAAATCTGAAGTTGTCTATGATTCATGCTATCAATTATCGGTTTGTTACTAGAAACATTGGTACAAAATATTAATTGGGGATTTTTCAGAAAATGTTAAATAAAATATAATTATTATTTATGCATAATAATTGTAATGTATCTATTGCTTTAAAAACTTACAAAAATTGGTGTTCCAAATCAATAATTTATATGGAGTCAACTAAAGTTATTCAAGACCACACCAAATGCGGGCCAATTTTTCAATATGAAGTCAATTAACACGCTTTTTTGGGTCAATTGCATTCATTTTCACACCAACTTTTCTTGTGTTGAATTTTCTGTTAGCAGTTTCAACAAAGCAAAAGTTTATTTATATAACAAAGTATTATTATGTCACTTCTATTGTCAACATAGGCACTTCAGATTTTAATTTAATTTTATAAGAACCCAAGTTGAAATTAATTTTAATAATAAGTTTTAGAAAAAGGGGGTGAATGGTGTTTATCTTATTGAATTTACTTTCCTTTGTGGCATCAAAATAAATATTGAGATAAATAACTTCATGGATTCTTTTTTATTTACAATACAACCCTAAGAAAATCAACCAATTTAATTAGCTAATTTCCACCGGAAAATCGTTATTTTTCATTAATTCGTGTTTTAAATCATTTTGTTATCATATTTAAATAAATTACTCAATGGCATACCAGTTATTACATTTTTTTAGATCCAAAAATAACATCTAAAATGTCCAAGCAGATCGTGGCATTAATGGAGAAGAGCAAGTCAATTGTGATGACAGGCCATTCCATAGGAGGAACAACGGCTTCTCTTTCAACTCTCTGGCTCCTCTCCTACCTCCATTCTCTAATCCCTTCTCCATTATCAGTCCTATGCATCACTTTCGGCTCACCAATGCTCGGAAACGACTCACTTTCCAAAGCTATTCTTCGCCAGAGATGGGATGGCAACTTCTGCCATGTGGTCTCCAAACTTGACATTTTCCCAAGATTGTTTTTTCTCCCTCCACTTCACATTTCTCCCTGCCTGCAACTTCTCCTGAATCTTTGGCGCTTTTTTGAGACTTCTCGAGAGCTAGCAGTCCAGTTGCATAATGAAGAAAAGATCAAAATGTTTCAATCTGTATTGGGTTGCTTGGAAAAGATTGTACAATCTGAAGGAGGGTCGGCTGACAGTTTGTTTTGGCCGTTTGGGAACTATTTTTTCTGTACGGGAGAGGGAGCTATTTGTATGGATAATGCAGTTTCTGTTATTAAAATGATGCACTTGATGCTTATGACATCGGGTTCGCCTGATTCTAGCATCGAAGATCATCTCAAATATGGCAATTATGTTGCAAGAGTTTCTTCGCAATTCTTGAAGCAAAGAAGCTTTATGGGAGATCTTCCTGGATCTTGCTATGAAGCTGGAGCTGCATTGGCATTACAGTCTTTAGGCGTGGCTTCCCAGGTAGTGCCTTGTATCGCAAGTTATCATAGTATTATGTGTCATTGTACATTAGTTTCTGAATTTTCGATTTCTTTCTGTTAAATCAATGTATAGGAATCGGTTGCAGTGCCAGCGAAAGACTGCCTGAAGAGGGAAAGGAAAATGGTTCGCACCCCAAACTTAAATGTTGCTAATCTGGCGATAAAACTATCAGAGATCAACCCCTACAGGGCTCAAATAGAGTGGTATAAGGCACTTTGTGATGATTCGGATGATGAAATGGGTTACTATGACTCATTCAAGCGACGAGGAAATTCAAGAAGAGACTCCAAAGTCAATCTGAATCGTATGATGCTTGGTGGGTTCTGGGATAATGTAATCTCAATGATTGAAAGTAATGAAGTGCCTCACGATTTCCATAAGCGAGCGAAGTGGGTTAATGCTTCCCAATTCTATAAACTCCTTGTTGAACCTCTGGACATTGCAGAATACTATCGCACTGGGATGCACTGTGTCAAGGGGCATTACATAGAGCATGGTAGAGAAAGGAGGTACAAGATTTTTGATAGATGGTGGGAAGAGAGAAGGGTTACTGATGCAGAGTGCTACAGAAGGAGCACATATGCAAGCTTGACTCAAGATACATGTTTCTGGGCAAAGTTAGAGGAAGCAAGGGAGTGGCTTGACAATGTTAGAAGTGAGAGAGATAAAAGGAAGCTAGACTTGCTGTGGAACAATATCAATGATTTTGAAAGCTATGCAGCTGCATTAGTTGACAGTAAGCAGGTCTCGAAAGATGTTTTGGCGAAGAATTCTAGCTACACTTTGTGGTTGGAAGAATTGAGGGAATTTAAATCACAGTTGATGCAAGTCTCTGTTCAATTTCGTAGCTTTGCCAATGGGGTAGTCCCTTAGAATGTTCTCTAGGATAATGGCTTTGTAAACTATTTCTAAGAACCTTGTGTTTTGCAACTTTGGCACATAAGTTGCTTTAGATATGGATAATTTTTTCTTACTGGCTAGAAAATGTAGTTATATGAAGCCAAGCCACTGACAGGCAGGGAAGCAACTATACAATTAGCTGCCTGCAGGTCTTCTTGTGCATGATACTATAGTGAAAATTGATCTGTAAATAGAATGGCAATACAGCATGTTGCAATGGGTGACAATCAAATGTGACGCTATCGGCTAAGGAACTGGAGGCTGATAAAAAGTGTAGGCTAGAGCTTGTGAGAAAAGAGAAAAAGAAGTCCAAGGAACAAATTCACGAGCTTGACTATATTAATGCTTTTGGGCAAAGTGGGGCTAATATGATTTCATAATGCATATTCAAAGAATGCTGCTCGCAACTTTGATAGATATCAGTTCACACTGCTCAACGAGATTCATGCTTAGAAAGGATTTGCAACTGTGATAGATATCAGTTCACATTAAAGATGATGCATGAATGTACAAAACGATGTATGGATCTCCCAGTTAGAGATATATACGTATATAAATTTTCTGGCAGCAAATCTTCTGCTCATACAAGGTAGTCCAAATGTAAGAGAAATATTTTCTTTTTAAAGATCAAAAGAATTGCACGGGAACTGGTAAGGTAATCTAAATCTATTAGTCAAATTGACTACCAATTGTAAGCCTATTCGGTCAAAGAAATTATGTATCAGAAACCTTAAGAACACTTGACAAAGAAGTGAATGAAGCGCAAGAATTTTGGTTAATACATGTATATTTGAAAGTGGGATGAATCTCAAACCTTCCCATTTTCGCTATCAATGTTCCGAACAGGTCCCTTGAACCATTTCCTAGCATCCAACACCCACCAGAGCATTATCAGACCCAAACCAACACCTAAAGCCACAGGTGCATAGTTGAAAGTATCCAAATCAATCGGGTAATAAGTCGGCAAAAGAAAGACTGCGCATGTATAGCAAATCCATAAAAATGCAATCAAGCAAATCGGTCTGCTAGCTTTCCCCAAATAAAATGGCCCAGCTTTAAAGTTCTTCTCAGACATTACCATTCTTGCAAAGATTGGAACTGCATAGCCACCAACCCATCCGATTGTACAAATGGAAGTTATGGCAGTGAAGACTACATTGACTTTTAAGATTGGAAGTCCAAGAATAATACAAATGGCTGCACAGAGCCATACTGCATTTGAGGGTACTTTGTGCTTTGGGTGCACTTGTCTCCATATGGATGAAAAAGGAACTCCATTATCTCTTGATAAAGCATACACCTGAACCATGGGGAAGGAAACTATTTCATAGTATGACAAAGGCTAAATTGGCTTGTAATTTTGTGTCTAGCCATCAAACATTAGATATGAGCCACACAACTCTAATAAAAAGTTGCCTGAAAGTGAAAGGAATAAAGTTCATATTCAAATTTGTGCACGCATGTGTGTGTGAGAGAGAGAGAGAGAGAGAGAGAGAGAGGGCGGATCACTTACTACTCTGGCGGCGCTTGTAGTGATTGAAAGTCCACCAAAGAAGAATGAACCCCATATGACAAACAGTAAGATGATTGCTCCAGTAGAATTTTGATACCTCCCGTGGAATGCATCATAGAGTATTTGAGCTGGCACAAACACTCCTGCAGTCTCATTGGATGTATCATAGAGGTAGCTGAAATCCTGAAGAAGAGTTGCAACCACATATCAGGTCTAGGTAAGGTAAAGAATTTCTGGGTAATATCTTATACAACAAATGACTGAGCCTCGTTGGCATTGTCAAAATGACAGAAGATGATAATTTTCAGAGGTTTTGATACCTGAATGCTGAAAGTAAGGGCCAAGATATACGCCCATCCAAATACTGAGATGATCCCAATGCTAGAGAGGATTGCAATAGGGCCATTCTTGTCTGCACCTTTTGTTTCTTCAGTTAAATGTGCTGCAGCATCATATCCATACAGTGAATACTGGCTGACAAGAAAAGAAAGAATGACAGCATAAGGTTTGCTTGATATTCCTGTTGAGGCCGGTGACATTTCAAAATGTGTGAACACATATGAAGCAGATTGTGTAGTCAGGGCAACCAGGGGAACCATTATAACAATAACTAGCCCTCCAACAACCTGCCCAAGTAGAAATGTAATCTGCTATGACAAAGTTCTGTTTGGTTGCAAGGAAAATTCAGGATATAAGGAAAGCAAATCTGTGAGGTACCTGCCACCATATTGAAATTATGTCGATAAAGGCAATTACTTCTAAGGCAAAGGTGTTGAGAACCGCCCATATAATGGTGAGACCAATGTACATACATAAGAATAACCACTTAGGAGCAAAATAGCCTCCATCTTTATTTGTTCCTGTGGATAGTAAAATGATACTTTGCAGTGTCTGTGATCCTGCATATGCCTTCAAAACCAAGTAAAATTGAAAACTATAATCCCACTTCCAACAACATGATGTGTTCAACTATTATTTTTTGATGTATGAATACCTGAGTTCCCATGCCAGCAATAAGGCCAATAGTCTCAAGCCAAGCGCAACACCATGATGCAAATGGACCCCATTTGGGTCCAGCTAAATGAGCAGCCCAGAAGTAAAGAGAACCAGTAGTCTGTTCAATTGCAAGCAACAAAAGGTTAGTTCCACTCCACCAATGGCATCAAGCATTTTGAAAATGTAGGCATTAGCTAGGCATTGGATATTTGCAGACATTTCTAGTGTTAGTTGTTGTTAGCAGTTAAATCATGGTAATGTGCAAAAAAAAAAAAAAACAGCGTTATTCTTTTCTTCATAAAAAAGAACTGTAAATTCGACCAAGTTTTATGCCCTTTAAAGCCTTAGCTAAACAGCCATAAAATAATTATGCTGCCCCATACAATTTTCAGTCTTCGGAATCTAAAAGCTTTAAATTCTTCTTCTAACTCGTCATATTCGGATTTTAAATATACTTTTTGGTGATAAACAAACATCCAATTCAAAAAGAGCCAATCTAAAGAAAATACAACATGGCAGTTGAGTAAAAGGATTATATATAAATGCACATAAATGAACACTCCTAACAAACGAAGCGGAATAATTAGTTGAGAGAAGAGACAAACTGGGAAAGAGGAACAGATCTCAGCCATTGCAATTCCAACAAACCAGGTGAAGAATGACACAACCACCCATCCCCACACAAGACTCGCAGGACCTGCATACAGAAGACTCGAACCATACAATGGTGTGATCCCAGTGAAGAGTGTCATGGTCGAAAACGATATGGCAAGAGTCTTGAATAAAGTCTGCAACAAATTAAAACAAAACCATAAAACATCTTCAGCAGCTACACCAAACAGTAAATAAGAAGAACACAACCATAAGAAGCTAATTAGCATGACATTGAGAGCCAAAAAAACCATTTCTCTTCGAAGTTCTTGCTTGTATCCAAGCTCATTCAGCCTTTTTTCTCCGGAATCCATCTCTAGAATCTGTGTTGAACTCTCAGGCTGATTGCACTAATTGATTGTAAAGCTTAGAATGAAAGTGAAATCAGTCATACACAAGTGGGTTTTACAGAGAAAGATACTCAGGAGATTCTTTGCAACTTTGTTTATAGAGCATAAAAGTCCAAGGTCAGTGTTGCCATGTTTGAATACCCTCCAAGACTACTTTTTATATCTCCATGTTTCAAGGTTCACACTTGTTCTCATTTCATGTTGCTTCTGAAAACTAATGAATGATTTTTATATTACCACGTCAACCATTCAAAACCGTCTTGTACACAACTTGCTTTGTGGGGTTTGACTTTTTCTGAAGAACTATTGAAGATAATAACACATGAACAAGAGCCAACAGCTTTTATTATTATTATTCAGATCGCTTAATGGTTAGGAAATGGCGATATAAATCAAACTAAAAATATAAAGTCAAACCATGATATACTTGGTGGATCCAAACCACATGGCGTTAAATTATCTGGGGAACCGGTTTCTATTATTATTTTATTTTACTTATAAAATCTCAACTTAGCGTCCAAAATATAGAAGTTATAACATTATCCAACCCATAATATTTGAAGATATTTATAAAGTATTATTATATTATATTGGAATATTATGTTAAAAAAATTAGAAATCTTGAGCCGCCGCCAGAACGTAGCCGACAAGAAGAAATTTGATATCTCAAGCATTCAGCTGAGCACAAAATAGACAACCGACAAATTCAGACGGGTTAATACCATATTCACCCCCTAAAAACTTTGGAAAAACTGAGCCACCCATTTTTTAAATAAACTACAATCTACACCCCCTGACGGGCTGCCATCAGTTTAGGGTGTTAAAGGGTACAACTAGACATTTCGCCTGCAAATTTAAAAAAAAAATCTGGAAAAATACAATTCTAAAAATACATAATTGAAAATAAAAACAATACAAAAATTTAAAGAACCTAAAATAATATAGACAGTAGTGGCTGCCTGTCAGATTTCCAAGTTTCAGGGGTGTACAGTATTAACCCTATGCTAAATCCACTACTCGTGAAACATTCTCAGTTATCTGGAATCACAACAGACTAAATGAGAGTATAACCCTATAAGTGATTGTCCAAGCAAACACAGAAAATCATCATCACACTTAAAAACATTTAACAAATATGTCTCTAATCATACATGTGCATAATGTGGCGATGAACTACCCTATATTGGCCTAACAAATGTAGTTATTAAAAAAATTAAAACCTTTTACCGTTTAGTAGAGCTTCCACTTGGTCACAAATTTTGGTTGGCAACACTCATATATGGTTTGGACGTATATGCAAACTGCTAAAATTTCATTGCAAAATATGTTCAGAGAATAACCTTCTTCACAAAACATACTAGTCAGGACTTCGCAGATTTACTAAGTCCCCAAAGAAATACAAGCAAGATAGCAATTGGTTTCACAAAGAAAATGACAAATGTAGATCATACTATCACTGAGTAAAACAATTCACAAAATACTCTGCCGGAAGGATCAAAGAACATAAACTCAACAAAGTCTGCACACACATGGAATACTCAAAGAATTCCTTAGCTATCAAATACTCAACAGTGCATTTCCGCCCACTAACTGAGCTTGGCTAAACTTCATTTTGGATTTTGGTTAAATTTCCCTCCTCAGCTCGGTCCAACTTTCCACTTCGGGCTTCCCCTAACTTAATCATTTGGTGTGGCTCACACATATAAAACCTTAATATTATACAAACTATTATCTAACTGACAACTTAAAAGTTAACTCATATCAAAAGCTTCATAGCCAATTCATAATACAAATATTATTCATGTATAGATGTTCAGGTGTTACAATACACTGAATAGCAATCATGCCGTTGGTAGCCATGAATTGGGATTCAATCAGTACACAGAAGAGAAATAGAGGAGAGAGAATAAATAGGCTTTATCTTTGCATAACATATACTGTTATCTACCAAAGGAGGCCCCTATATACCATTCAGCATATATAGGCTAATAACTTTGCAAAATAATTTAAGTGAATAAACAATATCCATCTGTTACAACTTATCCTTTTTCAGGCCATTCAGCTATTAACAAAAAGAATGTTATCAATTCATATTTACTAAAGATCCTCAAGCCAATCATATTACCTTATAGGGAATGTCAAGCATGAGTTTCAGCCACTGAAGCCTCATTGCCACCTATTATATAAATGAAAATGTAAGAAAAAAATCTGAATTGGAACAACATAACAAGTTATAATCTGCATATTAACAATCCTGTACGTTCCATAAATCCTAATCTATTCATCAAGTACTACTTGGGCTTGTTCACATAAGTATGATACTACAGGTGCATTTCAAAGGCCCGTGTGCATGCAAGTTGCAGTTTGGAACTAACCATGAGACCCAAAATCACTGATGTGCTTCCTTTTTATATCACCCGAGAGTGATACTTCTTTACACCTTTTTTAATTCTGCTGCTTCAATTTCATTACCAATGATCATGAATTTTTTTTTTTTGTTAAATGTGAAGCAATTAAGAGATTATAAAGTATATGCATTTCCATTGTGCAACATTACTTTTTAACTACTAGCCTTTTGATTTCATGTTCTAAATCAAATGCTAGATGAGAGGGAGAGTTACCTTAGGCTTTGAAGAATCAAGCAGAAAAATATAATATCAAGAGACCATGTAAAATATCTGCTTCAATGTCATGCCGTAGGTGCTGCATCAAAGGAATGAAGAACTTCTTCCAGCTTCGTTCTTGTATAATTGTCAAGAGGACTCTCTTGCTTGTCTGAATAATTGATATTTAGGAGGTAAAGCTTCCTAGAAGCCACAAATGCAGCTGAAAAAATTCTCTTTAATCCACCCCTACTGCTATCTACTTTGTACTCAAATTCATAAACTTGTAGACCCTTTTGGCCCGATCTCTCTGCCACTCCAATCAGCTCAACTTCTATCGTGCTTTCCTGTGAAACAAGAATAAATATAAGCCACACAGGATTCAATGCAGAAAGATGTTGAAATTTAAGAAAGAAGAGAAACAATAACTAATGTTAGAGTTTAAATACTACTTCTGGTCCCTTGTAAGCTTCAGCTTTTAGGTCAAAAGGTAACTTAACATAAAATCAGAGCCAAGTTCACCATACTTAACTTAATTCTGATAACATTTCTTGTGGTGTTTGTTATTATTCTACTAGTTGTGGTCATGTTCAATTTATGTGCCTTGCAAGAGCGTGGGTGTTGGGGCTTATTATTATTGAACTCATACCTATAAACATAAGTTTCTAGGTCCATAAAAATTTAAGAAAATACAAACAGCTGTAAACTCAACAGTAAACCTTTCATTGCTTCTTCAAGCAGAAATAGCAAGTTCAAAAATTTCAATCGACCAGTCCATCCAAAATCAATAATAATGGATAGCACCTCGAAAATATGCAGGTTGCTATATGATGGTTCAGGTTTGTAGCAAAGAAATGTCAATGTCTGCCTCTTAAACTGAGATAGAGAAACTAAGTAAAAGGGATTATGCAATGCCACCATCAGTTTTGGTGAAACAACAAGTTCAAGTGAATTCAACAAAGTTTTGGTCCAAGCTCAAGGGGTCGGCAAATCAAAGCCTTCTACAAATTACCAGCAAATAAAATAAGAAAAGTGCAATCATGGCTATTTAATTATGTCCAATATTGCCCTTATGTTACATGTAACCCCGAAAGTAATCATCAAATCAACTTTTCAACAATTGGCTTCTGATGTGATACAATTAGGACACTTTCACATGTTTTCCTTTATACAGTCCGTCATTGGATCTTGGAATTTTCCTGCAACTTCCAATAATATTCTGATGCTAAATTCTACATTCCCTTATCTGTAGACTCATCTATTTTAGCATCCTCATTTAATCTAAACTCACATGGTTATTCTTCTAGATATTACAAGCATTCTATGAAAAGGCACAGAAGATTTAGTGCTAGTCCACAGTAACAGGTGAAGCATCTAAGTAAAATTTTTCAATATACAGTACAATGGAAGCATCAAGCCAAACTTTTCAACCAAATTCAAAGGGCAATTTCATCTTATATCATATTTCTCCTTGTGAGCATTCTAACAATGGTAATAGTAGTGAACCCTCATCTGCATTTCTTAGCAAAAACCTTAACTGAACTCTCATTTCTATGTATCCAATAAACTATATTGTTTAGCGTCTCCTAGATTTTGACTCAGGTTTTAAATTAATAAAATGACAACATAAAGTAACCATCAAACCTCGACTTGGTCACCAACATTGTCAAGAAAATAGGATCTCAATGGAAACTTCAATGTAAACCTCAGAGAGAATCACAACCTCATATTGTTTCTATCAGTTCTATTAACAAATGCTTCACACAAGCAGTTAAAAATTCAAGTTCCCCAATTGGCATCAGCATATAAATTATATATAGGAAATAAGAATTGTTAGCAATTCTCTAAATGGCAGGCACGTAATAAGGACACTAAAAAAAAAAATTAACATTAATGCATTTTATCTTCAAGAAAACAAACGACTACATTTTTTTTGAATGAGCAGATACAAATTATGTATGTAGAAATACCCACCAAAAAGAATTAACATAAAAGAAAAAGTTACCTTGCGCTTTTCGGCTTGAATAAGCTTCTCAGCAACAAACTGAGGAGTCCCAAATTCTCCAAGACTGGAGAGACGAACTGGGTTCACCACAACTCCAACATTGTTACTTCCCTTGTTTGGCTCCTGAAATAGAACTGTGGCCCCTGCTTTATCCACCTAATCACCACACGCACTTCATCAGAAACACAAAAAAATAAAAAACAAATAAATTAATTGATTGAATACCTTAATCCAAGAAGAGGGTCTGAGGAATGTGAATCCCTCCGTGGAATCTGTGTATCTTTCGAGCTCCATTTCTTCGGCTTTGGAAACGTCTGCATAAAACCCATTTAAGAGAAGTGTAACAAGTGATAAGTTAAGCTCCCTCTTGCTCAAACAAAGGGATACTTGCAGTGTTTCTTTCTTGTAGTTTTGGGGTAAAAATGGAGGTTTGGTGGAAGAAGGGAATTTTGGAATGGGGTTGTGAATGAAGGAGAAGGAGGAGTTTTGGTGAGTTGAGAGGGCCAAGCAAATTTTTGAAGCCATCACAGATAAGACATAAACCTCATCAATCATCATCACTTCTAACTTTTTAGACTTTATTCATTTAATTTAATTTTATTATAATTAAATAACAAAATTATCTCTGAAATTATAGGAAGAGAAATTATATTAAGTGAACTATTTTATGGTCAAGTTGGGAAGTAACCAATTTTTGAAAAGTTTGCTAACAATATAGCAAAAAGACATTATACACTACTTTACGGATGAAAATACCCCTACTCACAAATTCTTAGACCTTTAATCAAACAATAATGTTATGGACATCGGGACTATCCACCAAATTTTTACACTGAATTACGTGTCACATGATTCAGACCAGCCACGTATCCCGTTAATAAATATTTTGCAAGTGAACAGCCGTTCATCAACTATGGACGGTCGTTCACTGTTATTGGACGGGAGTCCATTATATGTGGACGCCTGTCCATGCGAAATAAATGATGGACTCCCGTCCACATATAATAGACACTCGTCCATACTGTAAATTAAAAAAAAAATTAAAAAAAATTATGGACACCCGTCCATTGTTCAGTGGACGGGCATCCCTCACTCAGCATGTTTGATGCCAAATTCAAGTAACAGATGTTTGGCAATGAGAAAAGTTGACCCGGAAGCATTCCTTCCCGTAGATTGGATGACAAGTCTAGGTGTTGTATTTGGTTTAGCTTGCTATATTGCTTTGAAATCTCACTTGAGAAGGAGTTGTTACTGAGAAAGGCCATGACCAGTTCTCTTGGCAATGCAGGTAGATCAGAATCTGATTTGTTTTCACTCAAGTCCTGCACATTTAAGCTACTTAGGCCACTGAGATATAGTAATCTCCCAGATATTTCATTCACAGATAAAACAAGATCAATGAGAGTGGTGATATGCCTTATTGAAGATCGAAATGGACCCTTTAATCTGTTATTTCTCAAGCTTAGAAATGTCAGATTAGAGAGAGAATCAAACCAATTGGGGATTGTATCATTGAAGAAATTGTCATCCAACTTAAGAGTTTGAAGCTTCACCATTGCAGAGATTTTAGGAGGAACTGAACCAAAGAGATAATTGGAACCCAAGTCCAAGTATTCAAGTGCAAACAATCGATGAATTTTGTCCAAAAGTGGACCCCAAATTCCCAAGGACACCAAACTAAGAACTCTCAAGCTTGTCAACCTTTCCAGAGTAGTGACAAAAGAATTCATAGAAAAGTTTTTTATATACAATTCCATTTTTTTTTAAAGCATGGACGGGCGTCCATTATATGTGGACCCCCGTCCATAGTAAATGGACTCTCGTCCATATAATATGGACAAGAGTCCATCATTCATTTTGCATGGACGGGCATCCACATATAATGGACTCCCGTCCAATAATAGTGAACGACTGTCCATAGTTGATGAACAGTCGTTCACTCGTAAAATATTTGTTAACGGGATATGTGGCTAGTCTGCGTTACGTGACACATAATTCGGTATAAAAATTCAGTGCACAGTCTCGATGTCCATAGCATTATTGTTAATCAAAACACATTCTTCAACCCTTAAAACCCATCTAACCTATTCTCCATAACTACAATCCTTACCAAATTAAATACAATCCCTACCAAATTAAAGGATATTTATGTAGATGGATGTCTAATATTGGTTGTTTAGATTAATTATTAGATGGAGTCATGGAGATTTGAAAATGGAAGGATTTTAAGGGTTTCGACGAAACCTAGGATTACCTATTGAAGGGTATCAATAGTATCGGTCATTTTTTCAGCCCAAGATTAAAGAAGTCAAAAAGTATATGATATTGTTCAATAGTGAGATATCTAACATTGAATAAGACTACAAGGGGGTATATGTAATTTTCACAAAGAGGTATTTTAATATGTCCAATAGGATTATAGTGGTAGCATAATACTGCACATACAACATTTTTATAAAATATTTTTCATACAACATGATGGGGTAAAAGATGATTGGCTGATTTTAAATTAAAAATAAACTTTTACCCAATCATCTTTTGTTACATCATATTGTATAAGAAATGTTGTATATATAGTATTATTCATAGAGGCTGTTTGGATAGGGGGTAAATAAGATAACAGGGGTAATCTTCGTTTATTTTGCAAGATTTTTATGTTTGGTTTGCAAGTAATAAAATATTACGGTAATCTTTTATTGCAAATAGTGTTTACTGTTGGTAATGTGAAAGGTAATCTTATTACCTTGTTAGGGGGTGTTATTAAACATTGCTGGTATAATTTGATTTTTCTACCTATTTTACCCTTAATTAAAAACCGTTTCTAACACAATTGTCCTCAAATGTCTACCAAATAACAATTCCTAGCCCTTCTACATTTGAGAAATTAGCTAAAACACCCCTGTCACAAAAATATTTAAAAGTTAACAAAATACCCCCAACCATCCAAGACCACGTCGGCTGTGACTCACCATCGCCGACCATTGGCATCGTTGTCGTACGCCGATAAGGCCTCTTCCGACCATGGATCACAGATTCATAGCTGAAACGACCAGATCTAACCTTTCTATGGTTGTTTCATAGCTAAAGATGTGGCCGTGATGACTACAGATTTGGCCGTGAAAAGGCCAGATCTTTGGCCATGAAATGGCACAGCCAAAGATCTGGCATTTTCATGGCCAGATATGTGGTCTTTTCACGGCCACATCTTTGGTCGTGAAATGACCATAGATTTGGTCGTTTTCCAACCATGGATTTGTGATCCATGGCCATTTTCGACTTTGTCGACGCACGGTTGGCCATATACGGCCAGTCGTGCACCATTCTATTGACAGTCGACTGTGGTAGCTGGCTATCAGTAGTGGCTTGAGGTGGGGGGGTGATTTTGCTATAAATTAAAATTTTATATGGCTGGGGTGTTTTAGCAAAATTTCAAATGTAGGGGGTTAAAAAAATTATGCAAAAAATAATAATAAAAAATAATATTATATTAATATTTAAAAAGGAGGACAATTTAGTAATCTATATAACATATCCACCCATTTATCCTCCCAACCAAACATATTATTCACCAATTCATTCGAACCAATTAAATACATTTTCTAAATATTCCCAGTAATCTTTAAGGTGATCTTTCTTTCCGTTAATATAATATACCCTTATAATAAAACATTATATGATCCAAACGCCTCCATAGTGGTATTATAATTTTCACAGGTACAAAGTACAAAGAACCACCCCCCGCCCCCATAGTCTTCTTGGACAACCGAGTCAATATTAAATACCCCACTAAAAAAAATTACATATACCCCTCTATAGTCCTATCTGTTGTCTGATATCCCCTATCAGACGGTATCGATCACTTTTCATCTTCTTTAGCTTAGGGTTGCAAAAAGTGACTAATACATACTAATAATCGTCCAAGGTTTCGTCAAAAACATTAAAATTCTTCAAACAACATCTTTAGTTAAAATTAACCCAAACAACTAAATATTGATCATCCATTTGCATTAAAAAAATCAGATTAACATGTTTCTTACACACAAAATCGGATGAAGAATCGATTTATAGCTTTGGTTTTCAAACTCTTCAATAGAGGTAAGGTTTGGTCTAACTTTGAAGAAGATAAGTGAATAGATGTGGGGATTTTCGTGCTTAATATTTGTGTAAAATGCCATTTTGGTATTTTGTGGGAGACTATTCAAAAAGTGTTATTTTTTAACTCCACCCGTAAAAAAATGTCATTCGATATAATTTCTCTTATAATAATAGCAAAAATTCCTTATTATTAAGTTTTTAATATTAAAATAAAGGGTTAATAAAATAAGAGTAAACGACATATTCCCACCCAAGGTTTGACGAAATCCTAGGTGAGTACCACAGGTTCCATTTATTCCAGATTCCCACCCTTAAAGTAACAGTGTTATGAATTTTTAGGGTTTAGGACGTGCAATTACCATAATGCCCTTAACCCTAAATTAATAAATTATGTTTTGACCCCTAATTTATTAGAATTATAAAACTTACCAGTTTATTTTCAAATTATATCAAAAACACCCCCGATAATTACACACCCTCATTGGAAACAGCCTAATCTGGGCTGTTTCCGACGACGTCGAACGTCCTGGTCACTCCATCACCTTCCCCGTATTCCATCGTCCAAAACCCCTCTCATTCCCGACTCATTTGCCCCTCCAATCGCCGGCACCGTTAGACTTAGGGTTTTGATGTTCTTCACCGGATTCCGGTCGATTCCGGCGGTGAAAATCCAATTGGACACCACCAATGAAACCACCGTATCCAGATCTATAAAATCCCCATGTTCCCAACTGCCGTCTCGTCGTCATTCGCCGGCCAAGAGTTCGTGTTCTTCGGCCGTTTTTCGATGAAGCGGTGGATGGAAAACGGTGAGCTGCCATGGCTGGAAACGTTAGGGGTTTTGTAGGCGAGGATTGGAGGAGTCAAATGGTGGTGACAAGGGTGATTTTGGGTGAAAAAATCGCTGGAAAAAGAGCGAAAAAGTTTACCGGCGGTGGTCTGCTAACGTGCGCCGGAGGACTGTTACAGGCGATGGTCTGCTAACGTGCGCCGCCCATGTAAAATGACCAATTTACCCCTTTACCGTTATATCAAACGTTTTTCCGTCACTTTAAGGGTGGGAATCTGGAATAAATTGAACCTGTGGTACTCACTTGAGATTTCGTCAAACCTTGGGTGGCAATATGTCGTTTACTCATAAAATAATCCTACTGAGATACATTTGAATAACAAAAATTCCTTTATAATTAGCAAAATAGGGTTCGTTTGTTTAATTGTTTTTGCACTATCCTATCCCTATCCTACCCAAAATATACATTTGTTTCCCTATTCTGAAAATCCTATTATATTTTATTCAATTATTTTTAAACCCACTAGGTTTGTTAATTTAACTAAAAAAAAAAAAAAAAGTTTAAAAATTGACAAAAACACCCCGACCCACCCACATTTTCTAGATTATAGCCACCATAGTCAGAAGGTGGCAGAAATCTGGTATAATGACGCACTACTTGCTAGATCTAGCCGGTAGTGCGTCGATCTAACATTTTCCAACCAGATCTATAGCCAAAGATTTGGCCGTTGACGATTAGATCTTTGCCCGTAGCTGGCCGTTATTGACGACCAAACGTGGCCAGATCTGATCTTTTCTGGCCAGATCCACGGTGGATCTGGTTGAAAAAGGTCATATCGACGTACGACCAGCCAGATCCAGCCGATCATGCATTGATACGACGACTTCGGTCACCCTCCAGTGATGATGGCCGACTGCTGGCATTTAATGGGTGGGTGGGGTGTTTTTGTTAATTTTTAATATTTTATTGCATGAGTGTTTAGCTAAATTAACAAACATAGGAGGGTGTTTTTGTTAATTTTAAATCCTATCTCGTAATAACCACCAAATTCTTAGGCTTCATTTGGTTCATTATTTGATGATTTTTAGAATAGTGTTTTGAAAAAGTAAAATTGAATTATTTTTATGAGAAAGGTAATTATTAATGTTTTGTGAGATTAATAAAATATAATAGGATTTTGAGAATATTGAAACAAGTGTATTTTTTGGTTTTCAAGATATAATAGTAGAATAGAATAGGAATATAATATTGAACCAAATGAAGCCTTACTTTTTCAAAAATTCTATCCAAACTAATAAAACAAACACACAAATAAATCTCTTTGTTTTTAAACTTGCTGGGTTAAAGATAAACGACATAGAAGCAAATAAGTAAATATTCACTAACCAATNCCAGTCCATCCAAAATCAATAATAATGGATAGCACCTCGAAAATTTGCAGGTTGCTATATGATGGTTCAGGTTTGTAGCAAAGAAATGTCAATGTGATAGGAACCCACTCTAATAACTCAACAATTTGGGCTGAGCTATGGGTCTTTCATGGGCTTGGGTAGAACTCTCCTTGGAAAACCGGCTTGCCAAGGAAGGGTGCTCAAGCCTTTATAACCTTAACATTCCACCACGCTTCTGCAACCGACGTCCACATCGGCCTCTTTACCCCTTGGGTGACTACGCGGATCCCCTTTCCCTCGGGCCTCTATGCCTTTTCATGGGGTAGCAGCCCGGGTCCAAGGTCAGCCTGCCACGGGTCAGCCTACCACGCGTGCACTGCCACATAGGCACAGGATCATGCTCTGATACCAATTGATAGGAACCCACTCTAATAACTCAACAATTTGGGCTGGGCTATGAGTCTTTCATGGGCTTGGGTAGAACTCTCCTTGGAAAACCGGCTTGCCAAGGAAGGGTGCCCAAGCCTTTATAACCCACATGCCCACCCTTTTCCGCGTAGTCACCCAAGGGGTAAAGAGGCCGACAGGGGTAAAGAGGCCGATGTGGACGTCGATTGCAGAAGCGTGGTGGAATATTAGGATCCTACATTGAAAGGGAAAAGGGTGGACATGTGGATTATAAAGGCTTGGACACCCTTCCTTGGCAAGCCGGTTTTCCAAGGAGAGTTCTACCCAAGCCCATGAAAGACCCATAGCCCAACCCAAATTGTTGAGTTATTAGAGTGGGTTCCTATCAATTGGTATCAGAACATGATCCTGCGCCTATGTGGCAGCGCACGCATGGCAGGTTGACCTTGGGCCTGGGTTGCTACCCCGTGAAAGGGCATGGAGGCCCAAGGGAAAGGGGATCCACGTAGTCACCCAAGGGGTAAAGAGGCCGACGGGGGTAAAGAGGCCGATGTGGACGTCGGTTGCAGAAGCGTGGTGGAATGTTAGGATCCCACATTGAAAGGGAAAAGGGTGGGCATGTGGGTTATAAAGGCTTGGGCACCCTTCCTTGGCAAGTCGGTTTTCCAAGGAAAGTTCAACCCAAGCCCATGAAAGACCCATAGCTCAACCCAAATTGTTGAGTTATTGGAGTGGGTTCCTATCACAATGTCTGCCTCTTAAACTGAGATTGAGAAACTAAGTAAAAGGGATTACGCAATGCCACCATCAGTTTTGGTGAAACAAGAAGTTCAAGTGAATTCAACAAAGTTTTGGTCCAAGCTCAAGGGGTCGGCAAATCAAAGCCTTCTACAAATTATCAGCAAATAAAATAAGAAAAGTACAATCATGGCTATTTAATTATGTCCAATATTGCCCTTATGTTACATGTAACCCCAAAAGTAATCATCAAATCAACTTTTCAACAATTGGCTTCTGATGTGATACAATTAAGACACTTTCACATGTTTCCTTTATACAGTCTGTCATTGGATCTTGGAATTTTCTTGCAACTTCCAATAATAGTCTGATGCTAAATTCTACATTCCCTTATCTGTATACTCATCTATTTTAGCATCCTCATTTAATCTAAACTCACATGGTTACTCTTCTAGATATTACAAGCATTCTATGAAAAGGCACAGAAGATTTAGTGCTAGTCCACAGTAACAAGTGAAGCATCTAAGTAAAAATTTTCAATATACAATGGAAGCATTCAAGCCAAACTTTTCAACCAAATTCAAAGGGCAATTTCATCTTATATCATATTTCTCCTTGTGAGCGTTCTAACTAGGGGTGTTATCGAGCCGAGCCGAGTTTTCGGCTTAACGAGCTCGGCTCGTGAGAGGGGAGGAGTAAACGAGCCGAGCCGAGCCATAAATTATATGACTCGACTCGGCTCGGTAATGGATTAGGCATATTTCGAGCCGGCTCGTGAGCCATCTCCAAATAATTTTGTTTTTTTTCAATTTTTTTTACAAAAATTCGCTGGGCAGCAGTCTGAGTCGTCTAACTGGCCACCTGCATTTTCGTTTGTTTAAATTATTTATTCTTTTATCAATAAAAAATAAAAATAATTTTTTTAATATTATTTTCTTCATTCTTCGAAGGCAGAGGGCTCTTCAAATTCTGTTGGCTTGCGTTTCTTTGTTCTCCAATGTCTGAAATTCAAATAAATGCAAATCATAATTTAACTTTGTCTGGGCAGCAGCCATCTCCAAATAAAATTGAAGAAACCCCAAACCCCAAACAAACAATTAAATCCCAATCGACCGATTAAAGTCCCCTACTGACCGATTAAAGTCCGACGACAATCCGACGAAGATGATGACGAACCGACGATATCCACTTCAGATCTGACGATGATGATGAAGAACCGACGATATTCACTTCAGATCTGACGAAGATGATGATGAACCGACGATATCCACTTCAGATCTGACGAAAATCCGATGAAGATGACAAAGATGACGAAGATCTAACGGCTGCCGAAGGTTCGACGAAGATGAACAATATCCGGCGAAGATCCGACGAAGCTGACGAAGATGAACAAGATCTGGCCGAAAATCAACACTTTGGGAGGAGTTTGATTCAAATTTTACGGCAAGGGTTCACTGCTACGGATTTTTCGCGATTTGGGGATTTAATAACATGGTCTATTTTGTTATTTTTTAAAACTTGTTTGCATTATTTTCAATTAAATCCCAATGGTTTAGAAATTCTCAAAAAACCCCCCACTTTTTCGAACCAAGCACGGCTCGCGAGCCTGACGAGCTGAGCCTTGTATGGCTCGAACTCGGCTCGTTTTGTCTCACGAGCCGAGTCGAGCCGGCTCATAATTAGACGAACCGAGTCGTTAACGAGCCGGCTCGCGAGCGGCTCGGTTCGTTAACCAGCCCTAGTTCTAACAATGGTAACAGTAGTGAACCCTCATCTGCATTTCTTAGCAAAAACCTTAACTGAACTTTCATTTCAACACTTTTCGTTCTATGTATCCAATAAACTATATTGTTTAGCGTCTCCTAGATTTTGACTCAGGTTTTAAATTAATAAAATGACAACATAAGGTAACCATCAAACCTCGACTTGGTCACCAACATTGTCAAGAAAATAGGATCTCAATGGAAACTTCAATGTAAACCTCAGAGAGAATCATAACCTCATATTGTTTCTATCAGTTCTATTAACAAATGCTTCACACAAGCAGTTAAAAATTCAAGTTCCTCAATTGGCATCAGCATATAAATTATATATAGGAAATAAGAATTGTTAGCAATTCTCTAAATAGCAGGCACGTAATAAGGACACTAAAATAAATAAAAAATTAACATTAATGCATTTTATCTACAAGAAAACAAACGACTACATTTTTTTTGGATGAACACAAACAAATTATGTATGTAGAAATACCCACCAAAAAGAATTAACATAAAAGAAAAAGTTACCTTGCGCTTTTCGGCTTGAATAAGCTTCTCAGCAACAAACTGAGGAGTCCCAAATGCTCCAAGACTGGAGAGACGAACTGGGTTCACCACAACTCCAACATTGTTACTTCCCTTGTTTGCCTCCTGAAATAGAACTGTGGCCCCTGCTTTATCCACCTAATCACCACACGCACTTCATCAGAAACACAAAAAAATAAAAAACAAATAAATTAATTAATTGAATACCTTAATCCAAGAAGAGGGTCTGAGGAATGTGAATCCCTCCGTGGAATCTGTGTATCTTTCGAGCTCCATTTCTTCGGCTTTGGAAACGTCTGCATAAAACCCATTTAAGAGAAGTGTAACAAGTGATAAGTTAAGCTCCCTCTTGCTCAAACAAAGGGATACTTGCAGTGTTTCTTTCTTGTAGTTTTGGGGTAAAAATGGAGGTTTGGTGGAAGAAGGGAATTTTGGAATGGGGTTGTGAATGAAGGAGAAGGAGGAGTTTTGGTGAGTTGAGAGGACCAAGCAAATTTGTGAAGCCATCGCAGATAAGACATAAATCTCATCATCACTTCAAACTTTTTAGACTTTATTCATTTAATTTAATTTTATTATAATTAAATAACAAAATTATCTCTGAAATTATAGGAAGAGAAATTATATTAAATGAACTATTTTATGGTCAAGTTGAAAAGTAACCAATTTTTAATAAGTTTGTTAACAATATAGCAAAAAGACATTGTACACTACTTTACGGATGAAAATACCCCTACTCACAAATTCTTAGACCTTTAATCAAACAATAATGCTACGGACATCGGGACTGTACACCGAATTACGTGTCACGTGACTCAAACCAGCCACATATCCCGTTAACAAATATTTTGCGAGTGAACGGCCGTTCATCAACTATGGACGGTCGTTCACTGTTATTGGACGGGAGTCTATTATATGTGGTCGCCCGTCCATGCGAAATGAATGATGAACTCCCGTCCATACTGTAAATTTAAAAAAAAATTAAAAAAAAAATTATGGACGCCCTTCCATTATTTAGTGGACAAGCATCCCTCGCTCAGCATGTTTGATGCCAAATTCAAGTAACTGATGTTTGGCAATGAGAAAAGTAGACCCGGAAGCATTCCTTCCAATAGATTGGATGACAAGTCTAGGTGTTGTATTTGGTTTAGCTTGCTATATTGCTTTGAAATCTCACTTGAGAAGGAGTTGTTACTGAGAAAGGCCATGACCAGTCCGCCTGGCAACGCAGGTAGATCAGAATCTGATTTGTTTTCACTCAAGTCCAGCACATTTAAGCTACTTAGGCCACTGAGATTCGGTAATCTCCCAGATATTTCATTCACAGATAAAACAAGATCAGTGAGAGTGGTGATATGCCTTATTGAAGATCGAAATGGACCCTTTAATCTGTTATTTCTCAAGCTTAGAAATGTCAGATTAGAGAGAGAATCAAACCAATTGGGGATTGTATCATTGAAGAAATTGTCATCCAACTTAAGAGTTTGAAGCTTCACCATTGCAGAGATTTGAGGAGGAACTTAACCAAAGAGATAATTGGAAACCAAGTCCAAGTATTCAAGTGCAAACAGTCGATGAATTTTGTCCAGAAGTGGACCCCAAATTCCCAAAGACACCAAACTAAGAACTCTCAAGCTTGTCAACCTTTCCAGAGTAGTGACAAAAGAATTAATAGAAAAGTTTTTTATATACAATTCCATTTTTTTTAAAGCATGGACGGGCGTCCATTATATGTGGACCCCCGTCCATATAATATGAACGGGAGTCCATCATTCATTTCGCATGGACGGACGTCCACATATAATGGACTCCCGTCCAATAACAGTAAACGACCGTCCATAGTTAATGAACGACCGTTTACTCGCAAAATATTTGTTAACGGGATATGTGGTTGGTTTGAGTTACGTGACACATAATTCGGTGTAAAAATTCGTTGCACAGTCCTGGTGTTCGTAGCATTATTGTTAATCAAAACACATTCTTCAACCCTAAAAACCTATCTAACCTATTCTCCATAACTACAATCCTTACCAAATTAAATACAATCCCTACCAAATTAAAGGATATTTATGCAGATGGATGTCTAATATTGGTTGTTTAGATTAATTATTTGATGGAGATATTGAAAATGGAAGGATTTTGATGGTTTCGACGAAACCTAGGATTACCTATTGAAGGGTATCAATAGTATCGGTCATTTTTTCAGCCCGAGATTAAAGAAGTCAAAAAGTGTATGATATTATTCAATAGTGAGATATGACATTGAATAAGACTACAAGGGGGTATATGTAATTTTCACAAAGAGGTATTTTAATATGTCCAATAGGATTATAGTGGTAGCATAATACTGCACATACAACATTTTTATATAATATTTTTCATACAACATGATGGGGTAAAAGATAATTGGCTGATTTTAAATTAAAAATAAACTTTTACCCAATCATCTTTTGTTACATCATATTGTATAAGAAATGTTTTATGTATAGTATTATTCATAGGGGTCGTTTGGATAGGGGGTAAATAAGATAATAGGGGTAATCTTCGTTTATTTTGCAAGATTTATATGTTTGGTTTGCAAATAATAAAATATTACGGTAATCTTTTATTACAAATAGTGTTTACTGTTGGTAATGTGGGGGGTAATCTTATTACCTTGTTAGGGGGTGTTATTAAACATTGCCGGTATAATTTGATTTTTCTACCCATTTTGCCCTTAATTAAAAACCATTTCTAACACAATTGTCTTCAAATGTCTACCAAATAACAATTTTCTAGCCCCCCTACATTTGAGAAATTAGCTAAAACACCCCTGCCACAAAAATATTTAAAAGTTAACAAAATACCCCCAACTATCCAAGACCACGTCGGCCGTGACTCACCACCGCCGACCATTGGCATCATTGTCGTACGCCAATAAGGCCTTTTTCGGCCATGGATCACAGATGGTAGAAACGGCCAGATCTAGCCTTTCTATGGTTGTTTCATAGTTAAAGATGTGGATGTGAGATGACCACAAATTTTGCCGTGAAAAGGCCAGATCTTTGGCCATGAAATGGCACAGCCAAAGATTTGGCCTTTTCACGACCAGATATGTGGTCGTTTCACGGCCACATCTCTTGGTCGTGAAATGGCTATAGATTTGACCGTTTTTCGACCATGGATTTGTGATCCATGGCCATTTTCGGCTTTGTCAGCGCACAATTGGCCATATACGGCCAGTCGTGCGCCATTCTGTCGACTGTCGGCTATGGTGGCTGGCTATCGGCAGTGACTTGAGGTAAGTGGGGGTGATTTTGCTATAAATTAAAGTTTTATATGGCTGAGGTGTTTTAGCAAAATTTCAAATTATGCAAAAAATAATAATAAAAAATACTATTATATTAATATTTAAAAAGGAGGACAATTTAGTAATCTATATAACATATCCACCCATTTATCCTCCGAACCAAACATATTATTCACCAATTCATTCGAACCAATTAAATACATTTTCTAAACATTTCCAGTAATTTTTAAGGTGATCTTTCTTTCCGTTAATATAGTATACCCCTATAATAAAATATTATATGATCCAAACGCTCCCATAATGGTGTTATAATTTTCACAAGTACAAATTACAAAGACCCCCCTATAGTCTTATTGGACAACCGAGACAATATTAAATACCCCACTAAAAAAAATTACATGTACCCCTCTATAGTCCTACCTGTTATCTAATATCCCCTATCAGACGGTATCGAACACTTTTCATCTTCTTTAACTTTGGGTTGCAAAAAGTGACTGATACATACTAATAATCGTCCAAGGTTTCGTCAAAAGCATTAAAATTCTTCAAACAACAATATCTTTATTTAAAATTCTTCAAACAACAATATCTTTAGTTAAAATTAACCCAAACAACTAAATATTGATCATCCATCTGCATAAAAAAAATCAGATTAACATGTTTCTTACACACAAAATCAGATGAAGAATTGATTTATAGCTTTGGTTTTCAAACTCTTCAATAGAGGTAAGGTTTGGTCTATCTTTGAAGAAGATAAGTGAATAGATGTGGGGATTTTCGTGCTTAATATTTGTGTAAAATGCCATTTTGGGATTTTGTGGAAGACTATTAAAAAAGTGTTATTTTTTAACTCCACCCCTAAAATAATGTCATTTGATATAATTTCTCTTATAATAATAGCAAAAATTCCTTATTATTAAGTTTTTAATATTAAAATAAAGGGTTAAGAAAATAATCCTACTGAGATATATTTGAATAACAAAAATTCCTTTATAATTAGCAAAATAGGGTTCGTTTGTTTAATTATTTTTGCACTATCCTATCTTTATCCTACCCAAAATACACATTTGTTTCTCTATTCTGAAAATCTTATTATATTTTATTCAATTGTTTTTAAACCCACTAGGTTTGTTAATTTAACTAAACACAAAAAAAAAAAAAAAAAAGGGGGTTTAGAAAATGACAAAAACACCCTCACCCACCCATATTTTCTAGATTCCAACCACCATAGTCAGAAGGGGACAGGAATATGGTATAATAGCGCACTATTTGCTGGATCTGGCCGGTAGTGCGCCGATCTAGCATTTTTCAACCAGATCAACGGCTAGATCTTTAGTCGTAGCTGGCGGTTGTTGACGACCAAACGTAGCTAGATCTGACATTTTCTGGCCAGATCCACAGTGCATCTGGTCGAAAAAGGCCATATCAGCACACAACTAGCCAGATCCAGTCGGTCGTGCATCGATACGGCAACTCCGGCTATCCTTCAGCGATGGTGGCCGACTGCTGGTATTTAATAGATGGATAGGGTGTTTTTGTTAATTTTTAATATTTTATTACATGAGTGTTTAGCTAAATTAACAAACATAGGATGATGTTTTTGTTAATTTTTAAATCCTACCTCGTAATAACCACAAAACTTTTACTTTTTTAAAAATCATATCCAAAATAATAAAACAAACACACAAATAAATCTCTTTGTTTTTAAACTTGCTGGGTTAAAGATAAACGACATAGAAGCAAATAAGTAAATATTCACTAACCAATCATGCCATAAACTCTAACGGCTAACTAATGACAAGCGAATTTTTGTTATTTTTAAAATTATAAAAATATTTTTGTTAGTTGATTAAACTTGAAGGACCGTCAAATCGAAAAATAATTAGACAATAATAATGTTTTACTTATAAAGTATAATGGAGTCATACAATTACATTATATATCCAAACAAAAGTTTTATAAAATTCATATAAAAGGATTACTTTATTTTTTATTTTTTATTTAGTTAAACGATTTAGTTGTAAGTATAACTGTTAATGATAAATAAATATTTAATATCTCGTAATCAGAAAATCATAGGCTCCGTTTGGTTCACAATTTTGTGTTTTTGGGAAAAGTTTTTTGAAAAAAGTTAAAAAAAAAGTTGAATTGGGCGAGTATTACGATGTAAGATTTACAAATTATAAAATACCCCCTATGTTTGTTTTTTTACAAAACACCCCTTATAATAAAATATTAAAAGTTAACAAAAATACCCCTAATCCACCCTCAAATACGGACAGCCGACCACCACCGCCGGAGGGTGGCCGGAGTCGTCGTAACAAAAACATTAAAAATATTTAGGGGTATTTAATTGAATTAACAAATTTAGGGGGTTTAAAAAATGTTGAATAAAGTTGAATAATATTGTGAGTTTTTGGGTATTTTACTGTTTAATTTTTTTGGGAATACTAAGAGTAGTTTTCCCAAAATTAAGCCATAACTCCTGGTATTTACAAATGTTACTTTTACCTTAATAAAAATAATATTACGATGAAAATAAAAATGGTGTGAAGCAGAAAACAGGAGAGATGAAAATGAATATGAATGGTGGGAAAGTCTGCAACGTAGACGAAGTAGGCAGGAAGCGTAGCATACGAAGTTCATCACAATCAACCCCTTCCATATATTTTATTCCTTCTTTTCACTTCCATTTTCAATTTCTAAATTCAAATCATATCAATTTCACAACAACCCACCATGCTTCTTCGTTTCCCTTGCTTCCCTGTAAGTTTCTCTCTCTGATTTTTTTTTTTTTTTTTTCCTCCATCCAAAATTTGGCATTCAAACATTACCCTGTTGGGTCTTCAATCTTCAATTACATAAATTTACATATAGTCAACGAAAAGAAGTGACTTGCTCCTTTTATTTCCATTTCCATATCTCAAAGTAATCCTTGTTGTTTGTTTTAATTGAAACACAAATTTATGAAAAAATAAAATAAAAAATTGACTGAGTCTTTATTATTGAATATTTCTCCTGTAGGCTTCCAGAAATTCTTGTGCAATGTTAGGAAGGGCTGTTCAAGGTAAGAACGATTCATTATTTAATAATATTTTAGACATCTTAAATTGCTTTGCAGCCTTTGCTTACATTATGGGTTATTTTATTTTTATTGTTTAACTAAAATTTCTTGGAATTAGCGAGTACCCGCCGGTTGTGTGATAAATATAATTGACATTTTGTGTTTCAAGTTAGGTTGGTTATCACTGAGTACAGGAAAAAATGTTGTGTACTTTCCCGGTACTGTAAGGTTTGTGCAAACATCATGTAGACTATTTGTTCCTGGGATGCCATCACGAAATTTAGAAGTAGAAAAGATGCCTTCAAATTTTTTAAGGGATAAGAAGGTGGTTCCTGATGCGGATCCTCCTAGCATTGAAGACGTCAACAGATTGTATCATTTTTTTGATCAAAGGTCAATCTTGGATTTACCTGCGTATCTAATTTTAAATTTGAGTTAGTTCACAAATGATCTTTGGTGGTTGTATTTCTGTTATGCAGTACCAAGCTTACGGTATTGACTGGAGCTGGAATTAGCACAGAGTGTGGAATTCCTGATTATAGAAGGTTTTATTTCTTGTTTAATTTATTTGCTTAGCTTATCTGATATAACATACCTTATTAATACTCCTAGAATGTAGCAGTAAGCTTTAGCTTCATAGGTGGACTTCAGGCAACTCTAATAAGTTGTTATACGTCATAACTTTTTGCAGTAACAAACTAGTTTTAATGATATCTATAAATTGGGTTTTTACCTTTTAATGTTAGACCTTGCTCCTGCCTCATTGGCCGCCAAAATGGTAACACATGATTAGTCAGCTAAAGCAATGTTTGGAAGTTCTATCACATTGACTGTATTTCCTGTTGACTATTTTAGGGCCTTTCTGATCATGTGTAAAACGTATCATAGGGGTGCTACTCAATTATGAAAATTTTGACTGTTCATTTACATTCACTATTTGTTTGTGGTGCTAAACGTTTTATTTGGTGATAGTACTCTTTTTTTCTTCTGTTGAATATATAAAGTGTGCTTATCACTTTGTCGTATTATCTGTTTACACAGTTGTCTTTAATACAAGATAAAATCTGCTATTTTTTGGTTTATGTAATTTGCTCTGCAGTTTACTTGGATTGTGTCTGCATTCGGTCTGTCTCTTGCTGACTACTATGATTGAACTCATATCTGCCAAGTCAAAGTGATGGCTATATGACCATGTTTCTATTGTGGTTACTGTTTATCAGTTAAAATTATTTCTGTATCTCATATCAATTTTTATTTGCATAATGCTTTCTTTTCCTATTTCACTTTGGATTATGCTATTATTTTGTTCCTTTCCTCTAAGTAATTTTTATTTTTTGGTTCCAGCCCGAATGGAGCTTACAGTACTGGGTTTAAACCAATTACTCATCAGGTGATTGAAGGCATGTGCTGTGATATCTTTCTCCTGTACTGTTATTATTAATAGTAAGGACTCAGGTATCCAATTTTAGGAGCTTTCATGAAAAAGTTGAAACTAAGCAAGGAGTGAGAACATGGAACTGAACTGAAGAGCAGACTCCTAGTAAAGTTAAATATACTAACATATTAATGATTCTCTAGATTTTAATTAATATCTAAAGAGCTGAACAATAGCAATATGTCATTTGTTTAAAATGGAAGGCTTAAATAATTAGGCACACATTCATTTATAACTAATAACTTCTTGTAAGTCTTATGATTGAGAAATTTATGTAACCAAATTTGCTACTTGCCTGAGTTGTTGAAAACACTAAAATGGGAAGAAAAATGATTGGTTGTCTAGCATGTGTAGATGATAGGGCTTAGCTTATTTTTTGATGTATCATAAAACCTAATTTACAAAACTTTCTCTCAATGGTTCGATAAAATTTCTGTAAATGGTTAAAAAAATAACCATGTCCAAGTCTTTTTTGTTTATGGAAGGGAAATGAGTGGTAGGGAAGAAGTCATTTCAAAGCATTTTCTTCTCTCTTCTTTTCACCCTTTCTCTGTTCAACTACCAAGATTGCCTTGTCTTTGTAATGCATGTAGTAAATTCAGGAAACGGTGTAGAACTTCATGACTAGTGTTTGTAGCCTGGAGAAAGATATTTTTCTCAAAAAGGTTTTCGAAAATGTTTGTCTCTTTTCCATTTTTTGTGTGTACCTTTAGGAAACGTATTTGTCATGTCATAGCATAGACATAGGTACATAGTCTATTTCCTTGAGTTTATAATTTTGTGGTTTGGCTTTAAATAATTAAATTGGAATAACTGATAAATTTGGAAGTCCAACTATCCTGATCCAACCTAAATATATTTCTAATATTTTGTTGCATGGTATTTCAAGACTTTTGGCATAGTTTATTAGAGTCATCAAGCAATATATGTTGTAGATGCTGTTATTGCTTCTTTAACATCAAAGTCTCTGTTTTAACTTTTACTTTGTTGAATCTTCCAGCAATTTGTCCGTTCCGTTAAGGCTCGCAGGCGGTATTGGGCAAGGAGCTATGCTGGATGGAGACGATTTACGGCTGCGCAGCCTGGTCCTGCTCATATGGCTTTAGCTTCACTTGAGAAAGCTGGCCGGATAGATTTTATGATTACACAAAATGTTGACAGGTAACCAACCAACTATTTCTTCCTCTTCTGTTGTTTCAGAAACTCGATAAGTGCCATGAACAAGCCTATTAGTACTAACATAGCAATATATTATTTCAGACTGCATCATCGTGCTGGAAGCAATCCACTTGAATTACATGGGACTGTCTATACTGTTGCTTGTTTAGATTGTGGTTTTTCAGTTGGCCGGAATGAGTTTCAGGACCATGTGAAGGCCCTTAATCCAAAGGTTGGTGCTTTTGACAGATTGATGAACCATCTAGACCCATAATGTGACATCCTCACTTTCAAGTTTGCTATCCATTATCAAATCTTAAGAAGTAGATTTTTGAAAGACATTGAATTCATAGTGAATGAAATTATTAAGAGATCTTTTTTTGATTACTAGGGATTTTATATATTAATATAAGAATGAAAAAAGATATGTGTGGTCATGTGGAATTGAACTAAAGTAATGAAATTTGAGTACCTAAATTTGCTCCAATCTGCAATGTGCTCAGGTGTTCGCTGGTTGAGTCAATTTTTAATCTGTCTAGTTAATTTTTTGATAATATGAAGTTGGATAACTTACCACGACCTGATGGTGTGTTGAAGCAAGTTTTTCATTCTCATGAACATTGAAAAAGCATCAGAAATGGGGTAGTTTTTACTTTGATAATTGGATCATACTTGCTATGCACATATGCAAAATTTCTTGATGTTTGGATCTTGATTTTCCCGCCTTTATGATGGAGCCAACCGAACACTTGATAGATGGTAAATTTAGAAAAATATGAGATGAAATTGAAAACATTAAACTCAAAACTAATCAATATAAGTTTGGTTGACTCTGAGTTGTGGTTTGGAAAGCTTAGTTCAGACTTTTCCTTTTTGCTATTATATTGGATTTATGACCTTAATGGATTGTTCTTTGTGTGATATCCTGCTATTCTTCTCTCTTTTGCAATAAATTTTCATTTCCTTAAGACTTACATGCAAAATCATATATTCACTTTGGATGTATCTTGGGACCAATGATCGATAATTCAATATTAACCTTTCTCTGCAGTGGGCGGCAGCTATTGAAAGTTTGGACCATGGCAGCCCTGGGTCAGACAAGAGCTTTGGCATGCAGCAAAGGCCCGATGGTGATATTGAGATCAATGAGAAGTTTTGGGAGGAAGAATTCCACATTCCTACTTGCCAAAAATGCAGTGGAGTGCTCAAACCTGATGTAAGAATTTTGACATTTTTGGTATAGATATAGAATTTACAAAGGTGAAGATACTACCGTTCCTACTGACACTACAAATTATTGTTCATTGAAAATATCAAATAGTTGAACTAAAATGAAATCTATGACCATGATTTGATTTCTTTGGCTTAAAAGTGTCAAGGGTTCTAACACATAACATAGCTGTTTTGGAATTGTTCCACTATTCATTGTGGAGAAATATCGATGTATACTTCTTTTGAAAGTATTGAAGGCATTGGTTAGTTAATTTCGATCCTTTCACAAACTGATGTATGCACAATCATGCTTTTCTGCATATAAGTTAATGTACCGTGGATGGAGATTTTTTGTTTTTATCTATATTTAGTATAATATTGAATTAATTTGGATAAAACTCGGTCCTCATTCTCTTTCCCCCCTTTTTCTTAATAATTAAATCCAGCTTGACTCAGCAATTATCAGCTATCTCGGGTTTTTGTCAAAAATACATTTAAAATTGAATTTCCAAGAAGCTCATTTAATTAATTTTCTTGTGTCTTGATATTTTCAAGGTTGTCTTCTTTGGTGACAATGTCCCCAAGGATAGAGCTGATAGGGCAAGGGAGGCTGCCAAAGAATGTGATGCTTTCCTTGTACTAGGATCATCTCTGATGACCATGTCTGCTTACCGCCTTATCAGGTACTTATGTTGTTATGTGCATTTTGTCATATTTAATCATTATACTCTTTTTCCTTTCAATCAGGATTATCTACTAGATACCTTTATATGGGAATATCTGTTTTTATATACACCTTTTTCACATTCCAATCATGTAAGCCGTAGTAGACATTATATGAACAACAATTTTTTTTCAGCAATTAACCTTTTTGATAACTGAAGATCATAAATTGCATTGTGAATGGCAATTATTACCAGTTGCATGTGTACCTTTAATAAAATTTAAGATAAAATTGACCCCTCTGGTCTAGATAGATGGGATCAACTGAATGTGGATTTTGCATCCCTTTCACTGTGTACTTTAATGTATCTCCTTGACATGTTCATGGTTATATTTTAATTTATTTGCAATGACGATGCTTCAGTGAGTGCAATCTTTGTGTTCTATTTGATTGAAAAGCATTTGATGGTAGCTTATTCTCTGTGAGATGATGCTGAAAATTATCGGATATAGTGGGGAGTTTCTGCGTTCCATGCAAACATTTACTGCATTATAATTACATTAATATATTTAACGAGAAATGAGACGATGATGAAAGTGACCTATTTGTCGATTTGTTTTCTTTTCAGTTCAATCGACAGCTAATAAGATGTTGAATTTGAATTTTGCAGAGCTGCTCATGAGGCAGGTGCTAATACTGCAATTATAAATGTAGGCGATACACGGGCTGATGATTTTGTGCCCTTGAAAATTAATGCCAGACTAGGAGAGGTATGGTACTTCAGAATTCAAATTAGTCGCTGGCCTGCACTATGGTGACTATGTTTTCATGGCATTTTTTCACCGTTTGTTACAGATATTGCGCAGAGTGCTCGACGTTGGATCTCTTAGTGTCCCTGCTCCATAAACAGTGAGGATTTATGGGAGAAGTTCCAGCTTCTTACTTCTCTTTCGGCTTCAAGCTCCAAGGAATTAAAAGATTACTAATTTTGTCTTTATTCATCTCAAGTCTCAACTGAGAGGCTTTTGGTCCTTTTGGAAGCACAAGTGTATAGCTTAGCTCTGGTTTTTAAGAGGGAGGAATTTGTTTTGTATAATTTTGTTCCCTTGTTTTTTTTATTATTATTATTATTTTTTTTAATTTTATATTTGTGAACCTCTAGTTCACTTTATGCATGTAACTCCCTTCTTTGTAGTATATTTTCTATTCACGGTTTTCTGTTAGCAAAAGAAAAAAAAGAATTGTGTACTTCCATTTGTGGTTTGGGTTCAACTCGATTTAACAAGAAATTGAATAAAGGGTATGTTTCAACTTTCAACTACAATAACTAGAAAGACCAGCCCACGTTGAAGGAATGAATTTGTACGTTGATTTTCTTTGCACATTAGTATCTAAAGTGATGCAACTATTTATGACCTAACAATCAATGTTTTAATAACCAACCTGGATGAAACCAAACAAAGTGGTCGTGTCTTGGGTTGACTGGTTTAATCGGTGGAGTAAACCGATGTCCAAAAGCTTGAAATCTAACAAAAACACCCCTAAAAAGTCCCTATAGGTTTGAAATCTTACAAATCACCCCAAACATCACTGTCAACGTTGACAAAGACAAACTAGGGAAAATACGACTTATTTTCGGCAATGACAACACTCCCCATCACCATTGTTTTAAAAACCGGACTAGAGGACAACTCGCTCTGATGGCCAGGTCACGGTTCAACTGGTCCAATCGGTTGGACTGCCAATTGAACCGATGGTTTGACAGGTTTAAAATCTAACAAAAACACCCCTGATAAATACCATCAGACCCTATAGGTTTAAAATCTAGCAAACACAACCTTGGCCATATGCAAATCGACGATTGATTGGGAGAGCAGCAGCGACACACCAGGGAGGGTAGATCGGATGATGGGGAGGGCGAATCGACAACTAGCAAGTAGAGGCATCGCCAAAAAATGGCAGATCGTGGTGGAAGTCAATGGTCGCGATGGCTTTTTTTGGTGAGATGACTGGATCTTCGTGAACGACGGCAAGGGAGCTTGGGAGAAGGTAGATCGATGGCTGAGGAAGCCTGTCGATGCCGGAGAAGGCCGATCGACGCCGGGAAATGGAAGAAAAATCACACAGCGAAGGTGGATGACGAAACATCACGCGGCGGCTGGAGATGAAGTGTGACAACGCCGGAGAATGTCAGAAGGTGGTTTCCGACAGTAAAGGAAGGTGGAAAGTCACCGGAAAAGGAGAGGTCATTGCCGATTTGCATTTGGCCAGAGGGTGTGTTTGCTAGATTTGAAACCTTCAGGGACTTATGCGTATTAATAAGGGGTGTGTTTATTATATTTTAAACTTGAAACAGTTAAAAAGAGTGACCCGACCCGGAGAAGGCCTCGGGTCCCGATCCAACCGATTGGACCGGCCAATCCGGTCCGAGTTTTAAAACAGAGCCTATCACCACAAAAACAATCCCCTCAACCTTTTAACCAAAACCCATTTCACCTTTCCCCTGATTGCCGCCAATTTAGTTTTGCAATTTCTGGTCCATTCACTTATCGAAAATCACCTTTGGCACCACCATTGCTCTTATCAACTCTTTCTTTTCAAAACTCCCAACATTCTAACCTTCAATTGTTTACCAATTGTCATCCTAATTTTTAGGGTTTTCGATGAATAGAAAAACTGGTAACCTGGCCCGGTGAAGGCCCCAAGTCCCCGTTGAACTGGCCAAATTGGGCCGAGTTTTAAAACACTACTAGTAAAAATCCAATACGAGAGTATTTGCATCCCAACCCACTGGGAGAAAGAACTTAATATCCTGCAGACTTTGGTTTAGAGATGCCAAAAGTATGATATATCAGACTCTACATGAGCAGGTGCCTTAATTTTTCAGATTTCCATAAAATACACCCGTATATAGTATATTCATTTACTAATTTAAATAAAGTCCTGTTTTTGTCATTTGCTTCCAAATAGGTCGATGGTGATAAAATTGGAAATGCTTGCTGTTTTACTGAAAGGATTTATACAGGAACAATATGGAACAGTAACACCCGTAACATTGAGTGTAGATTCACATCTGGTTCAGTCCTGCTAAAGAAAAATGAATTGGAGTTTTTGGTCTTCAAAATATGATTCCTGGATTTTCCAAAGGTCCATGAGGAATTGAACCTCTGACCTCTTAATAAAGCTAAGAATTGAAACCAGATCTTGTTTATGATGGGGTTGAAACAAAAAAACGACCACCCAATCTAAGGGAGAACTGAAACCAAATCTTGGTTAGGACAGAATAGAAATAAGCAGCCTTAACTATCCAATCCAATCCTGGGTTCTCGAACTGCTAATTTACTGCATAACCAAGTAACTCAGAAAGCAATGTGAATCAGGGTAATTGCCATTACTTTCCATGCCTTTTACTTTACACATTCATCATTTTCAAACAACATTCATACGAGGGAAATCATGGCAGAATATGGCATTGAGCAATCAAAAAGACAAATCATGGCAGAATATGGCATCACAAACATCAATGAGCAAGACAATTTAAACCCATACAAACAGGGAAACTTTAGGAGTTGTAAGGTTAAAACTGTTATCAAGATCAGGAAGTGATAGCACCCTATTAAACCTCCAACCAGTAACAAGTAGAACTCATCACCAAAACGTTAAGAGTATCACATGAATAATGGGTGGCTCTATGGCACAAAACCAAAACCATGGTTATCAATCCCCAAGTATTAGAAGATCCACCAACATTAATTCCCAACAACCAAAAAGGAAAAGCCTAAGATTCACATCAACAAACAAACAATTACCTAGAAGTATCAACATACCCCTCCTAATACACCTAAGATTCACCAAGCGCTCTGTCAATAGCCTCCACATGATCACGCAGTATATTCCACTGAACCAGGGGAAAAATAATTATATTAGTAAATTTCCTACATAAACATTACATAAAAGCATAAGGTGTTTAGACATACCTGATCCACACTTAATGATATACCTGGAATAGATTACGAACAGTCAATATAGGTCATGGATAATTTAAAAGAAAAAAGGAATAACAGCTAATCAAAATGGACATAACTAGCACGTGCTTAAAGTATGCATGATAAGTAAGAATTTTGAGGGAAAATAATGTTAAAAATAACAACTGCAGATTAAAGACGGCAAAATATGGTGTTCTCGTTCACAAGACAACAAGTACAACAATAAGCTATAGAACAGCTATGTCTGATCATTTTGCAACCTTTTCTAAAATGGGAACAATACTTGACTATGGATGAAGCAGAATCTAACCAAACAAATGCACATGTGGCAATACTATTCTTCTAAAACTTTTTCATCCCAAATAATGTGACAACTGATTTTACATTATATGAAGGATGACACCGTGTAGTTAAGAAATTAAGAATTGCAAAATCATTTGTCATCCAAACTGTGATGAAAGAACTTAGGGCAATTTTAATATAAGTCCTATGACTCATGCACATAATATACCAGTATGGTAAAAATCAAAAGCCAAACTAAAATGATTTCATTATTTTAACACTAAGAATTACATATGAAAAACAAGACATCAAGGCCACTAAGTAACATGATTAATCCATTAAATCCCAGAAAAATTAATAGAATAAGAGTTCCATAACTGAATCTGGAGCTGGGTTAACTTCAATTTCCAAAATAACATCATTTAATTAGTATTCTGTATTCATCCAATGCATGATAAAAAATAAAAATAAAAATAAAAATTGTAGAAAAAATTAAACCCAGTTCAGAAACTTAAATTTCCAAAATAACATCATATAGTTTATATAATTTCATCCAAAAAAAAAGAAAAAAAGAAAAAAGAAAAAGATTGTTAATAAAAGGGCAAAAAATCAAATCAAGTTCAGTTCAAACTGATAAAAATGAAACCCTAAACCCTGATAGAAAGAAAAGAAAGAAACCTTTTTTGCCAGGAAATTGTTTGCCATCTTTGACAAAAAACTCACGAATATCAATCCAGATTTTGCCTTGCCAGTTCCTCACTGAAACTCTCCTGTTCTTCGATATCTATACACAGTTATATAAAACCCCTTTATATTTTAAAATTATTTAAACAAACCCAAATAAAGAGAGAGAAACAGCGTTACCTCGCAGACCACGATGTCATCGGATTCGTCATCAGAGTCTGCTTTCGAAGCTTTCTTGGGTCGCGCGTGGGTGTCACCGCTGCCGTCAGACGCATACTCTTCCTTTCTCTTCCCTCTCCACGACATTCCAGCTCAGTTTTTTGTAACAAGAATTACTGTGAAAATTTTGATTGAAAGGAAGTGTAGAAAGTGTGATTTTAGAATCTTTGTCGCTTCACTTGCTCCTTTCTATTAAATTTGGAGTTGCTCACTTAACCCCCTGAGGTTTAATGGAATAACTAAATTCCCCAGAAGTTTTGGTAATTCATATCATTAGTGGAGCATTAGTGAGCTCTTAAAATATAAACCGTTATGAGATTATAAATAAGGTTATTTTGAGCCAGATCACATTTTTATCATAAACTTATAATTATAAGACACTTGACGGATTGAAACTTTTAACTTTAACTTTATTAAGGATATTAAGCTAATTTTATGTGTAATATAGTTTTATATGAAATAGCTTTTTAATTTTTTTTTTTTTAAAACATTCAGTGATGTATAATATTGTTATATTCTATTTCTTTGTATTTCAAAACAATAAAATCACTCGCATATATCATCTTTAACTCGTAAGTTTTTATAAAAGTGTCTTCTAGTTCATAATAACCCTTATAAATATTTACCAAATTATCATCTTGTCGTTTATTTTAACCATTGAAACGTAACAGTTGGGTGATTTCAGTTATTTTAATGACCTTAAGGGAATATCTGTTATTTACTTACACCTTAGGGGTATTTTTGTCATTAACTCATTAATTTGTCAATTAAACTTTTGTGGGCTAATTTTATAAAGCACCTTCAGGTTTTCAAACATTCACATGTTTGTTGGGAAAATTATAAACCCCCTGAGGTTTTGGTAACAAACATAAGGGGTTTTCTAAAATTTGGCCAAACCATGGGAGTTTCCCTGAAAAGAAGCATGCCCAAACCTTATAGGTAACCCATAAAGAATGGAGATATCATATTATGATAGAATTTTCTTATATTATTCTTTACAGATACTGTATATGTTTTCATTAAACCCATTTATTATAGGATTTCTATGAGTTTAAGGAAGCATGTATCTCTTATGAATAGAATAATATCAGAATATTGAAGAATCAAGATAATATCCACGTGGGCCCACTCTCTCAGCTAGCAAAACTTCAATGAGAAATTGAGAACTGAAAATTATCTACTTTCGTAAAAATAATTATTTTTTCTGTTGTTCTTGTTTATTTTTCATTTTTTTTTTTAATCAAGAAAACAAAGATAAAAAACTCAAACAAAATAAATTTTTTTAAGAAATTATTCATGATTATTTTCTTCCCGATTCATCCATCAGCGATTTGATGCTTGTATAATGTAATCTATCTTTCTTTGTACTTATAAGCTTGGGTTCATCTCACCGCTTACTAGATAAGGCCTGCCCTTGCTTGATTGAATATTGAAAGGGGAATCTCAATAAAGTTTTACCCGAATTTCCCTATTTGATATTACTTGCTCACCAAGTAAAGTTATTTTAGGGATATTTTTTAATATAAGAAATTGAATTACAATTACAATTACAATTACACAAAATCTATAGGGAAAAATATTCTCCTAAAACTCCTCTTCATATGGAAAACATTCCTACTTAAGCATTCTATATTGAAATTGACCCTTCGTCCCTTTTCTAACCCTCAAGCGTTTTAGAAGCCAAGCAGTAAGGGCAGGATTGAAGGCACTGTGTTCCAAAGGGCAAGATTTTAACTTCCAGTTTGTGCAAATTTTGGCATCAACAAAATATTAGCCCCTCTCTATCTGATAGAAATTCCTTTTTCCCTGCTCATAATCAACTCAAGCCGAAGGGTAAAGGCCTAAAAAGTACAAACACGGTAATAAGCTTAAGTTTTGAAGCTCCAATTTATGATTGATGTTTTTAATCTTAAAAATAAAATTTAAAATAAATAAATAAAAGGTGAAGTTTTAAGAAAGAAGGAGCTTTTTAAAAGATCAAATAAAGTAAAGAGAAAACAAAAACCACAAATCTTAGCTTTGTTTTCCCAAAGAAAAACTCTCTCAACTGGAGCGATTAAGGGTGTGCGTGTTCTTTGGGTCTTTGTCTCTCTTGAAGTGGTGGCTCAAGTTCCTCACTGAAACTCTCCTGTTCCTCGATATCTACACACAATTAGTTAACACCCCTTTATATTTTAAAATTTAGGGTCGCGCGTGGGTGTCACCGCTGCCGTCAGACGCATACTCCTCCTTTCGCTTCCCTCTCCACGACATTTTTGCCCAGTTTTTTGTAGCAAGAATTACTATGAAAATTTTGATTGAAAGGAAGTGAAAGATTAGTGTAGAAAGTATAATCATTGTCGCTTACTCGCTTTACTTGCTTTTTTCTATTAAATTGGGAGCTGCACACTTAATCCCCTGAGGTTTAATGTAATAACCAAATCCCCCTGAAGTCTTGGTAATTCATATAGTTAGTGGAGCGTTAGTGAGTTATTAAAATATAAATTGTTATGAGTTTATAAATAAGGTTATTTTGAGCAGACGGCATCACGACACTTTTATAAGAAAATTTAACTCAACCTCACTCCAAATCATAGACTCCAACGGCGACGACTCTTCAAAGGCTATCGAAGAAGACTTTCCAGTGAATCATCTGATGAGTCAAGGTGGTCTAGAGGTAGAGGAGACAACGATGACACGAGAATAGAGAAAAGAATTGGAAAACGATTTTGAAGAGGAGGACGCCGGCAAGAATTCAGGCGAGAAGGAAGGCGCTGATGAAGAAAGGGTACGTTTTTTACTAGTAGTTTTGAATTTGATGAAAAAATTGATAGGTTTGTGCGAATTTGGGGGATATGTAGTTGGTTTTATTGTTATGATGGTTGTGGCATTTTGTCGAGCGATTGGCGGGCATTGGGGGAGTGGCTTTGTTTGGGTTCCAAAGGATGAGGGAAGGCAAAGGAGGCTATAAGGAGGTTGTTTGTGGGAGGTTGGAGGGCTGGGGATGGCAAGAGGTGGCAGAATAGGTTGTTTGTGGTGGAATAAGGGGGTTGCCCTTCATATTGCAGGGCAGCCCTCCAGACCCTTATTCCGCCACCTCCTACCATCCTTAGCCACCTCCATGACTGGAACCTGTCACAACATCCTCTGTAGGGCCTACATTGGCTTCCCCGGTGCTCTCGAAGCCAAAAACACCCACTCCCCGATGCCCTTGAAGCGCATATCCCCCAAATTGGCAACCTATTGGTTGTTTTGGTTTCTTTTTTTTTTGCTAATATTTAGTTTATATCTATTGTACAGATTTTTCGAAGCGTAAATTATAAAGACTATGGATTGGAGGTTGTAAGCGATAAGGTACCGTACTTTCTCGTAAGGGTGACAGTTAGGTTGAGTTGGCAAGTTTTTATGAAAATAATGGAGATTTTAAAGGAACAAAAGAAGGGTATGGACTGATTAAAAGAGAGTTGTTTCGATCATTTTGCAGACATCGGAGAAAATTTGAAAAAAGAGTTTTGGGAGTAGGGAGTGCATTATATGTTGCTACACTCAGTTAAAAGCCAAAAAAAAAAAAAAAAAAAAAAATGAAATGTGGTTTGTGGTCAATGGGAATGATGGAATATGCCCTGATAACAGGCTTAAGATGTGGGGTATTTCCAGATACAGAAGAGCAGGAGATAATAACGAAGAGTAGGGTAGCTGATAACTTGGCTAAAAAGGTTTTAGGGGGGAAGACGTCTATTACAGGACGCGATTTAGAGGAGAGGTTAGGAAAATGTGGGTATACCTCTTTAGAGAGGTTCAAGATACGCCTGGTATGGTTTGTGCATTCGATCCTAATGGCTTCTGACTCAACAAAAGCCATTAATATGGATTAGGTGAAGTTTGCAAGCAACATGGACTTCTTTAATGATTATCTGTGGGGACGTATCATTTTAGCTAACCATAGACTCCTTGCATGGAAAATACATGGCAATAAAGCATCGCCAATCTGTCGAGAAGAATAGACTGAGCACGTACAATTTGTTTAGCTTCCCATGGCAATGCAGGTAAATATTAATAGCTTTTTGTTATATTTTTTTGTATTATATGTGTTTTAATTCTGATAAGGACTGTTTTTTTACAATGTGGGCTTGGATGTATGAGGTTGTCCCTGTCTTGGCGGGGGGTGGAAGAAGACTTCGGATGAGCGACCATAATTTCCTAGGATGTTGTCGTGGCACATCGAGAAGTGTATCCATTGGGATTACAACAAAATAGACTTGGAAATTCAAGCGGCTCAAGTAAGATTAAAAGATTAATCTTTTGAATATGCACTTGCTTTCAAATGTGGCTTAAATTTGATTTTTTTTTCTTATTGTAGAGAGTCATCCATCCCTTCCTCACCCCTACTAGGGGTGAAACGGGAGAGGAGTATGTTACATCGTTCAGAAAACTGGACGATGCAGCAGATGAAGGGATAGACCGCCTAATACGAGACCTAGAAGGGGTAACACATGTGAGTGCAGTTACAGGGCCATTACTTGAGAATGTTGTTGATGTCGACTATGATGAAGCTCCATCGGCGGGAGGGAGGAGGAGAATAAGGATGAAGAGGTTCGTACGCCTCCACCCAATGGCAAACTGGTACAACAAGTACCGCTTTGTCGAGGCATTGGGGTCGGGAGAATGAGGTGGTTGACCTTATAAACGGTTTGTTTGAGAGTTTTACAATAGTCTTTTATCAGAGGTTTGAGAAGATGGAAGAACAGATGAAAAGGGTGGAGGAGAAAGTTGATAGGGTGGAGGAGGAAGTTGGTGAGGTATTGAAAGTGGTTGAAATGCAACCTGAGCATAAAAGAAGAGCCAAAAGAGTAAGCATGGAAAATCTCCTTACATGGCAGTAATGTATGGAAAGAAGAGGAAAATGAAGAAAAAAAATGAGGAAGTCCGTGAAAGTGGAGAAGCAAAAGTGGAGGAGGGTAAGGAGGAAGGCGGAGAAAGTGGGGAATTGAAAATGGAGGAGAATGAGCCAAGATGCAAAGGAAGTGGGGAAGTGAAAATGGAGGAGGGTGAGGAGGAAGGCGGAGAAAGTGGGCAAGTGAAAACGGAAGAGTTAAAGGTCGATTTGTATAGGTCAATAGATAAGGAAAAGAAAAAACTCTTTTATGCCTATTATAATAATTCTGGAAGTGATGGGCGTGTGAAGTGTATGACCAAGGATTATCCCCGGGAGTGGTTTGAAAAGATGTTGACAATAGGCAAGTGGCTCAACGACTCGATGAGTTATTTTTCCTTATTTTTGCTTATGTTTTCCATGAAGTATTGTATACTTATCATGTTGTTTTTATTTGATGCAACACATTGATGAGGTATTGGCACTTATGAGGTTACAATAGAGAAGTAATGGTGATATTTTGTATCCACACTATGTTATCACTGATGTGGCCTTTGGCCAAAGGCTAGTAACTACATATGACACTTTAATGAAAAAGGCCAATGGTGGAGGTGCAACAAGGGGAGGTAAGCGGAAAAGATTGGTATCAGATGATCTCGACGGTACCCTTGATGATTTTCAGTTTGATGAGAGGATGATGCAGTATGTACAAGGGAAAATGCCCAAATATGGCAACAGTTGGGCAAATGTTAAAAGAGTATACTGCATCATGAACATTAAGGATATGCATTGGGTAACCGTCGTTTGGGTACTAGAGAAGGGCTTGCTGCAAATCCTTGATTGGAACCCGAGTATTTGTCGAGAAAGGTAGCTGGAGACGGAGTTGCAACTGTTGTGTATATTTGTTCTCGTATCTATTATGCGACAGCCAGATGTTTTAGCATTTGGGTGATGAACTACTGATGGGAAAGTGGCCACTCAAGCACCTTCCCATCTCGATAAATGACTCGAGATAAATTTTGTATAAAACTTACATAATACAACTTTTCTATCAGCTGATTATTGTTAGAGTAGGTGCCCTAGAACCAATCAACTATTTTAGAATTGACTATTTGTAATAATGTTCATTGATCAATAAAAGACATTTTATTATATATCACTTAAATCATATCTATATGTATTGATATATGCCCTTAGAATGGTAGAACCGTGACGAGGGTATCAAGTGTTTCAAATCTTGATAGTGAGAACCCTATGAGCACATATGGTGGCCATTCTAGAAACGTCTGTAACCTTAGTATTATTCTGACCAAGGGCACAGATAATACGGTAAGGCTATCATAGTGTTAAATAACCCTGTCAAAAGGCAGCGACATATCTCACTTGTCAAGGTTGTTGGGTGACAACCTAGTGCAACATAAGGGTGCTTGCTGTAGGCAAGTTCACTGGACTAACCCACCAGAGGATTCCATATAGATAGTAACCCCAGTGTCTATGGAATAAATCCTCTAACGAATGGTGGTGCATATGATCCTTAGACTTGAGATCATCGGAGCGCCTTGTGCACTGATTGGTGTAGTTTGACATTAGCCCAACGCAGTTCTATTCAGAGCTGTCAATACTGTAGTGACTGGCTGCATCGAGGAGTGTATCGAGACTATGGTGGATTGATAGAGGATTCATCACTCTTGGGTATAGGAGCAGTTATCTCATAGCGCAATTTAGTAAATAGCAATGACACTAAAACTGTGGCCACAGTGGGATTGAGTTGTTGCTCAATCTAATTTATTATTCCGGTCATTGGTTCAGTAACTGAATACATACATATCGAGAGTAACTGAGGTTGACACTATTTCTGTACCTCAGTCTCGATGAGATAACAGATGATGAAAGGATTAGATTGCACGGTAACCATATCGTTGACAGGTAGATATTTCGCTGAATCTGAATCTATTGGGTGGCCATGAGGCCTTGCTAGGGGCCAATCTTGGTCTGTGTGTAGTGAGACGATTAATTGGTGTTAATCACGATATTATACACTGCCGGTATGATGAGGAGCCTACGAGTCACACACATAGAAGATAATTTAAGAATCAGTTTGTGCTAGAGGCGTTTTCGTCTTTTAGGGCAAAAGGGTATTTTGGTAATCTCACAGTGCAATTAAATTTGTTAAGATTGTTGCCTATATTTAATTTGATATTAAAATTAAATAAGTGAGATTATATTTAAATATATGTATGCATATATTTAAATGGATTATTATTATTGTTAAATGTTAATATATTTTTTATAAATATATTAATTGAGTTTAATTGGAAATAATAAAAATAAAAATAAAAATAAAAATAAAAAATCATTGGAAGTGTTTGGATATAGGGGTTGTTTGGGTTGGAGCCCAAGCATATTCCTTATTGGAATAGGGTTTCATGTGCACTATATAAGTGTGTGGTTATTGTGATTAAAATGAAGAGAATTCATT